ATACCCACCTTCTCCCTCAGTACAGCTGGGGATGTAATGGTTGTGTTTAAGAGCACAGTTTGGGCTCTGGGATCATATTATAGTACTAGCTGAGTAGCAAGTTACATAGACTCTTTGAGCCTCAATATCCTCATCTATAAAATTGAGGATAGAGCAGTACTTTTTTTAAAAAAAAATATTTTTAGTTGTCAATAGACCTTTATTTTATTTATTTATATGTGGTGCTGAGAATCAAACCCAGTGCCTCACACATGATACACAAGTGCTCTACCACTGAGCCACAACCCCTGCCCCAGAGCAGTACTTTTTAGGGTTGTTTTGAAGGCTAAAAATGATAGTAAATGTATTATTACAGAACCTGAAATAAATGATAGCTAAAATTATTAGTTATTTTGTTAAAGTTAGGAAGAGGATATAGGGGAAAAAAAACCTATCAGTTCACATCGTTCCTCTGAGAAAAGGCACTCATGGCTTCCTGTTGCATGTCAAGCAAAATGCTGCCCTTGTCCCCTCAGGCCCTCTGTGATCCTGTCCCTGCTCACCTTTTGTCCAGCACATCCTCCCCCTCACTGTGTTCTGCCTGGCTGTCCCTGGAACATGACAAACTGTTTTGCTCCCTTAGGGCCTTTGCATTTGCTCTTTCCTTTGATTGGAATGTTCTTTGCTGGATCTTTACTGGCTTTTTAGAGTTTTGGTATATAATGTGTAACCACCATTCAAATCAAGATATCATATGTTTTGGCTTCCTGAGATTTAGGTCTTAGCTTAAATATTACCTCCTCATAGCAATCTTGCCTGACCAAGTCCACCTGCTGTACCATCTCATACTCACCTTGCTTTGTTCACTTCATAATACTTGTGATGACTTGTGGTTTTCTCCTGTACTGCTTTTTGCACATCTGTACCTCCACTCCTGTCCCACCCTAATGAAAGCACCATGAGAGCAGTGATTCTGTCCTGTTTACTTCTGTATCCCCACACTTTGAACAGCTTGGGCATATATAGGAGGTACTCCATAAATAGTTAATAAGATGCAAGAGGAGGGGGTGATGGTTGAAAAGGGAAAGTTTGGCAAGGGTGGGAGAAGGGTTCAAATATGGAAGTGCTGGCCGTGGCAAGAAAGAAGGTGAAGCTAGAGGCATTCTGATGTGCAGGGCAGTGCTTGGAGAGGACTGCTTCTGTTGGACTGCTTTGATATTTTCACAAATTAAAGAGTGTAGTCACCTGTAGAGTTTTGAAGGGCAGTAGGAGAGGGGTCTGAGCCATGAGGCCAATAGAGGGTTTGGGCTACATATACTTGCTGCCATTTACTATTTATTCACCAGGCACTATTCCAAGCTCTTTAAATATATTAACTGATTTCATCCTATGACAATCCTGAAGAAAGATACTATTACTTTTATTATAAGGTGTGGATTGTTATGGTTTGAGTGTGTACCCTAAAGGTTCATGAACTGGAAGCCTGATTCTCAGTGTGGCAGTGTTGAGGTGGTAGCAACCTCAAAGAGGTGAAACAAAGTAGAAGGTGATTTAAGTGATTTGGAGATTGATATGGTTCTTGAGGAACTTGGATTATAACAGTGGGTTGTTTTTTATAAAAAGTGGCCCCTGAATCTCTCGTTTCCTGCATTGCTATGTGATCTCTTTCTTTTGGAGCGCTCCTGCCATGATGCCATTCACCCTGTTGTGATGTAACCAAAAGGTGCTCACCAGAGTTGCCCACATGCTGGCACTAGATGCCCAAAACTGTGCTAATGGACCTCTTTTCTAATATAAAGTACTTGGCCACCAGTATTTTGTTAATAGCAATGCGAAAGAGACTAAGACATGGATAAATATATATTTTTTTCATCTGTCAATTATACCTCAATAAAGCTAGAGAAAAAAGATGTGTAAATCAAGGCATAGAGAGGTCAATTAATTTTTGCTCAATATCATACATCTGGGAAGTGGCAGAGCTGGTATTTGAATTCATTCTAGCTCCTGGAGCCTGTGTGAAGAGCCACTACAGTTTCCTGCCTCCCAAGTCCCAGTGGAGCAAGTAGGTGAACATTCAGCAAGAGATGAAAAGGAGAATTGTGCAACCACATATGGTAGGCCCAGGGGCAGTTAGCCAGATAGCCATAAAAAAAGGCTCAGGAATGGGAGCAGAAAAAGTGAATGGCACAGGGTGGGTGATACGATTATGTATAGCAAAGATGGGGGCTGAGGCATCCTGAAAGGTGAGTGGGTAGGGAATTAATTTTTTGGTAGAGATATGTACAAAGGCTCCGAACTGGGAAAGAGCTCTCAGCTCACTGGAAGGGGTACAAGAAGAGTGTCATATTGACAGGGCTGGGGAAAGGTTACTAGTACACAGGGACAGGATCCTTCAGGGTAATATTTCTCAAAGTGTGGTCCAAGCAATCTTGCATCAAGATGCTCTTAGGTATTTATTCAGAATGTGGACTCCTGTGCCTCATTTCAAACCTACTTAATCAGAATTTCAGAGAGTGGGGTATCATGATTTAGATATGTGGTATCCCCTAAAAGCTCATGTGTGACAATGCAAGAATTTCAAGAGGTGAAATGATTAGAGAAATGTATTCTAATCAGTGGATTAATTCACTGCTAATCCAATTGGGTGGTAAGTGTAGGCAAGTAGGGTGTGACTAGAGGAAGTAGGTCACTGGGGGTGTGCCTTTGGGGTTTATATTTTGTTTCTGGTGAGCAGAGCTCTCTCTTCTTGGTTAGTATATCTTGAGTTGCTTTCCTCTGCCACACCCTTATGCCATGATGTCCCGTCTCACCTTCGGCCCAGAGCTATAGAGTCCACCAACCATGGACTGAATGTCTGAACCATGAGCCAAAATAAACTTTTCTTTCTCTACAATATTCTTGTCAGGTCTTTTGGTCACATCAGCACAAAGTTGACTGAAACATGGGGCATGGGACCCATTTAACAATGTCTCCAGGTGATTCTTTTTTAAAAAAAAAAAAATATTGGTTCTTTTTAGTTATATATGGCAGTGGAATCCATTTTGACATAATTATGCAAGCATGAAATATATCTTGTTCTAATTCAGAGATTTGGCACCCACCAGTGCAGGGCCTAGAGGACCATGGGAAAATTTAGGTTGCATTGTAAATCTGACCTACTATGACATTTATGTTCATTAGGAATTCAGTGACTGAGAAGTTACTGAAGGGTTATCAAGAGAGGAATGGTGATATTGATGCTTTTAAGTCATGCTGCCTGGTGTAGAATGAAGGACAGCAAAGGCAGACAGACAACAAGGTAGAAGGCTATTACAACTGTCCACGTGAGGAATGATGGTGACCTGGATCAGTATATTAGCAGTGGAGGTGATGAATGTCAGGCATTGTCATCAAGGTGGAGTTGATGGGACAGGGAGAAACCAAGGCTAACTCCTAGATGCTTAGAATAAGCAACTGGGTAGATGACACTGACATTCTCTGAGATGAGGGATGACTGATAGAGGATCTGAGTTCAGTGAAGTTAGAAGAATTCAAAATAAAATAAATCTATTATGTATATTTAAAGCTTGAGATGCCTATGACTTATCCAAGGGGAGATGTCACCTAGCTAATTGGACATACTGGGCAGAAACTCAGAAGAGAGCTTTCAGTTGGAAATACACATTTGGACTCAGGGACATTAGAGCTGGCATTTAAAGTCATTGTAAGTGATAAGATGCCATGAAAATAATTAATGGACAAGCAGAGTGAAATTGTTTGAAAAAATGGACTTCCTAGTTAGGACGAAGAAGACGCTTAAAGAGCATGAAAAAGTAGAAGTGGCTGATTTAAGAGCTCTGGCCCTTTTAGGGTAATATGTGGCTAGGCTTGCAGAAAAGCTATGTACTGGGTTGATAGCTAAAAGAGTGGAAGTGAAGGTCTCAGAGCCTCTGAAACAGTGGTATTAATGTAGACACTGAAGTCACCAAGGATGATGGCAGGGGGTATTGAGATAGAGAGGACAACTGGGAACTAGGTAATGACAACTGTGTTGTGGAAGTCAGTAACTGAATTGGCAAAATCTATAGTCCCTATACCAGTAGCCTCAACATTACCTTGGAACTTGTTAGAAATGCAAACTCTCACCACTCCCCATATGGTTTGTCCTCAGCAAAACTCAAGATGAGACTTGGTCCCAGTATAACTCTGTTAGGAGATGGGGTCTTGTGGAAGGTGTTTGAGCCATGGTAATGAAGCCCTTGTGAATACATTAATGCCCTTCTCTTGGAAATGGATTAGCTATCATGGGAGTTCAGCCCCTTTTTCTCACTTGTGCACATGCTCTCTTGTCCTTCCACTTTCTGCCATGAGTTGAAGGAGCAGGAGGCCCTCACCAGAAGCCAAGAAGATGCCAGTGTCATGCTCCTGAGCTTCTCAGTCTCTAGAACTGAATCAAAATAAAACTTTATTCCTTATTTTTTAAGTATTCTGGGAAATTCTGTTGTGCAGCCAATGATAAGAACCACTGACTTAGACAGTTTCCAGGTAATGCTGATGCTGCCAGTTTGGGGATCAGAGGCAATCACAGCCCCAGATGACTGTAATGAGTGGCCAGGATCAAGAACCACTCACCTAAATTGAAGATGGGGGAAGTGAACAACACAAAACCACAGTTTCAAAGCATCAAGGAACAAGCAAGCCCCTCTTCTTTGCTCTAAGATCTGGAGGGGTTGATCTCATCACCAGGAGGAGATGAGAGAGAAGGTAGCACTGGCTAGGTAAAAAATCAATTCAGGTGAGAAGTTAGACAAGGACCAAATAGCAAAGGTCATAATGAAAGAGGGGTTTACTCACAAGGCAAGTCAGAAGCTAGGCACCCAGGAAAAGGCAAAGCTCCACAGGAAAGAACAAAAGGCCAGCAGGGAAGAATGGGCAGAGCAGCTGGTGTGGCTCCTGAAGCTGGACAACAACCAGGTGTCACATGTTGGTGACAGTAAACTGTTATTCATTCTTTGACTTATACCTCACCCTCATTAACAAAAAGGTTTATGGGAAAATTCTAAAATACAGAACTATAAAAAGTATGTGATGGCATGTCTGGTGTGTGTAGGGGAGTTGAACAGGCTGACCATTGGCCTGATCTTACCTACCTGACAAGGTTATCATCAAAAGGGAGATCTAAAGTATTAAGTTCAGTCAATATAACAGAGGAGAAAGCTGGGGAAGTGGGAATCTATTTAGCATCTTCTATGTGCAAGATACTATGCTGGGAACTTTAATTATTTCTCACTTAATGCAGGGTCTTGTAGGCCATGGGAAAGTTTTGATATTATTCTAAATGCACTGGGAAGCCCCTGAAAGGTTTTTAACAAGGAAATGAAGAGACTCACATAATTAAGTCATGTAAGATCAATACTATGCCTATTCCATTTTATAGGCAAGAAAACAAGAGGTTAGCTAGTCCAAAGTCACATGCAATAAACCAGACCCCTTTGAGATAAAGCAATTATGGCAAAATGTTAAGTGGGGAGTTTAGGTTAAGAGTGTTCATTGAACCAGATCTAACTTCAAAGCTCAAGCTTTTTTTTCCCACTCTGCTGTACTGTGTCACTAACCTAAGTGACTTTAGGTCAATCATTGTCCCAAGACTTTCCCCATTTAAACAATGAGATTGAATTAGGTCAGCACTAAATTTCTCTCCCAGACATTTTGTGATTTCACAGTTACAGTGTGCAGCTTTGGATTATTAGGGAACACTAAGAGCCAATTCTTCAACTTGCCTTGATATCAGACAGGCCCTAATGGATCTCCTGTAACAGAAACCCAATATTCAGGATGTAGTTTCCTGCAACCTCAGGAAAGGATGTTTATCATGCCTCCTATGCCACACTGCCAGTCACTGTGTAAAAACTGCTGGGCATTGCCAGGTGCAGTGGTGCACACCTTGTAATCCCGGTGACCTGGGAGGCTGAGGCAGGAGAGTTGCAGGTTTGAGAACAGCATTGGCAATTTAGAGAGAACCTGTCTCAAAATAAAAAAGGACTGGGGATGTACCTCAGTGGTAAAGTACCCCTGGGTTCAACCCCCCAGTACTGGGGAAAAATGCTGCTGAGGGGGAGGTCACTCTCAAAATGAAACACCTTCTTCTGCCAAGCATTTGGGTGGGGTTAGAAAAACTATTCCTGATAACACTGAGTCAGCACATTCATCAGGGTCAAGCTCACAGTTGGAAGGAACTGGAAGAGTGCCCTGGTTGTGAAGAAGCCTCCAACTGAGGCCTCTTCAGTCTCAAAGGGAATGAAATCAGAACTACAAATTCATAATGGAGATTTGCTGGGAAACAATGGCACCCTGCTCAGATCCAGGGTATCCTCTCTAAGTGGTAGCTTAGATTAGAGACTCCCAAAGTACTAAATTTATGTACTTCATCATTCCAAAAGATAATAAAAATTCAAAGCTGGCTTTCAAAAGCTGCAAAATGAATTATGTGAAAACAAGCTCTTTTGGAGTCATGGTTAACCTACTGAGGTTATGTCAACAAGGACAACTGGGTTTTCTCCAAATATGTATGCTAAGAGTTTGTCAAACTTCTGAGGCTGGAAGGATCATGGATCTGACCTAGTGTGAAATTTATGTGCATTAAACTTCAACATACAGCTGGGTGCAGTGGCATGTACCTGTAGTCCCAGTAACAAAGGAGGCTGAGGAAGGATCCTTTCAGCCCAGGAATTCAAGGCCAGTCTGGGCAACACAGCTAGCCCTAATCTAACAAAATGATCTACATCCTTTCCTTTTGTTGCCTGAGTGCTTAGGATTAAAATAAGGGTATCTGGTTGGCCAGTGAAAGCATATGACTTTTTAAAATGTGTTTTGCAATGCTGGGGATGAAACCCAGGGCCTGGAGCATGCTAGGCAAGGGCTCTACCATTGAGCTATACCCCCGGCCAGTGTTACTTCTTTATTGGCTTCTAAAAATACATGGCTTCTCATCTCTGTGAGCAAATACACTGAAAAGCATTTTTGTTTGTTTGTTTCAGTGCTAGGGATCAAATTCAAGGCTGTGCGTATGTCAGGCAAATGCTTCATCACTGAGCTACAGTCAGCCTGAGAATTCCTATAAATGATACTTCCCTGTAAGATAGAAGATCACAGCAAAGGCATATCTGATGGAGACTACAGCAAAATCAAGTGAGACCCAGTGATATAAGCTTCCCTCCTCAGTTCTTTTTCACCAATATCACATTTTGATTTTTCACACAACATATATTTATTCAGAAAAGAATTTGCAATAAATTATAATAAAAAAGATGACACAAAATACAGAATCCCACTAGCAGCTTTGCTTAGTGATTAAGACGTTTTGGGGGAAATATAACAAACAATTACAGAATAAGAATCAGAAAACAGTGAAAGGGAGGCTAATGCAATGTCACCTCAGGGGTTTGAACCATTTCATCCTAAAACAACAGGTGCAGAGTCCCTCCCTACCAGTTGAATCTGAAATCCTTAATTTGGAGAGACTACGAAATAGTACCTTGGTGGACTTAGGAATTAGAGGGTGGGATGCTGGGACAGGCATGGGAGGAAAACAGATTTCTTATGTCTGGTCTGTCTTCTCTCCTCTACCTAGAGATTGTCTAAAACCCTCAACCCTGTATATATCCCAGGATGAGCTGGAAAAAAGGTTGAGGCAGTAAACCACTTAGTGCTTTGACCTGATTAAGAAAGAGAGCTATATGTGTGCTGCACAGAGCTCCTACTCACCATACCCTTGGTCACCCAAAGACCCCAAGTTGGAAACACATTAGAAAACAGGCCCCCCAAAACCACTTCCCTGTGTTAGGACTCTGTCTCAGCTCCTATTATCTAGCTCCTATTACCTGCCTCTTTCTGTGATCACTTTGTGGACTACTGGAGATGAGAAAAATGTTCTGCTCTCAGTCTTCCATTAACTAAGTTCACCACCCAGCCCTGACCTATTAGACCTTAAGGTATCTGGCACCAGTAGTTTGACTCTAATTTCTCTCAGTCCCAATCAGGAAAGGGTTTAACCAGTATATCACAGTATACATACCTTTTCTTCCCCCAAAGAACTCAACTTTCAAGAGATTGAAGAATCGAAGAACCATTCAGTGGTAGAGTTTCCCCTGGCCCTCTCATTGGATGCTCTAGAAGAGTCAAGGAATCAAAGCCCAAGATTGCACAGTCTATATATTATGCTCCTGGAATCTAATGTTAACAGGGCAGAGTAAATCAGCTTGGAGTGGTTTTAATGAAAGAAAACCAGGAGGAAGTCAATTGCATCAGGGAGTTTTGCAGTCAGTGGCTCGTGGCTTGTTTGTCAATCAACAAATTCATTTTTTAAAAGGCTGTCCCATAAAGCTTGAATGAATGAAACATTCAGAGGGTTATCTTGGGTGAGCAAGGCAAGGTTTATGGTTGGTCTCACTGATCAATCTCTCTTACACAGTACTGGATACAGTGACTGGGAGCCAAAGGGAGTCTTCTACATCCTTTACTTGAAGGAGCCAGATATGGAGCTCAAAGTCAGCCCCGCTGGGGTGGGGTAACACATGTCCCTTGGTACTTCAGAAGATTGAAGAAGGGTTCTAAGGGTTATCCTCAATATCCTTGCTGTGGGTGGAGCAATAGCTCCAGAGGGGGCTGCTAGAGGCACACAGACTCCCTCTTACAATGTAGTGAAAATGGCAAGTGTTGCTCTGGAGGTGATTTTTTCTTTCTTTTCTTTTGGCACTGGGGATGGAACCTAGTGTTGCTTTACCACTGAGCTACCTTCCCAGTCTTTTTTTAAATTTTGAGACAGGGTCTCGCTAAGTTGCTGAGATTGGCCTCAAGCTTGCGATCCTCCAGCCTCAGTTTCCCAAGTTGCTGGGATTTACAGGCATGTACCACTGTGCCCACCATTAGAGGTGGATTTCCAAGTGGGAGATGGGTCCCCTAGTACCCAGGATTGATCCTCATATAAAATGTAAATAATACTAGGAAAGGGAGAGTAGGAAACAGGACTTATCAAATGTGAATACTCTCACTCCTGAAATATTCAAAGTGTTTCCACTCTGACTGTGATTCTCTTATATCAATGTGATGCCATCTCTATAACTCCTAAAGTTATGTTACTAAATGTGATCTGAGACAAGAAAAATGGTTCCACCCAGTGCGGATCCACAAAAAGGCCAATAACAGTGACATATAGATGCCATTGTAGTAGAAATGCACAAATGCATGTAATGACCACTTACAAACATTGAACTCACTGTTAAGGACATCCAAGGAGTCATTAGCCTCAACCAGGCTTCCTTTGAAGTCATAGAATGAGTGAAGGGGAGTGCAAAGGAGTGACATGGGGAGGAGTGGGTCAAAAGTGCATTATACGAAGGACTACAGACAAGTCTGAGATATAGGAAGTAGTGCTTATAGGCCTAGAACGGAAACATCTCAGAGTCTAGGCCTATGACTAAGGACAATCATGACAATTGGGTTGAAGGGCAACAAACATATCCCTAGATAAAGGAGTGTAAATACAGACCTCTTTGCCTTATAAAGAGAAAACACAAAAACACCAAAATATGGTAACTTTGGCTTGGCAATATAAGTCTAAAAGTATTTTGCTGTGTAGAATATGGTAAAGAAGGGATTAAGAAACTCTCTTTCTTTTGCACTATTAACAGAACCTGAGATCCTGCAATAGACCCTTCCTGTGGCATGCCTTCTCAAATCATTCTGAAATACTTGGAGCCCAAGATCTTTCTCCTCTAGAATTTTGGAGAAGAAAAGACTTAGTCTTCATCACTCCCAAGCAGAAAGCCCAGAAGGAACTGGATGGCACGCTGGCGGTCACTTGGAGTCTGTCTTGCCAAAAGGTTGGGTGGAGGCCTTAGGAGAAGACTAGTGAAGAGAGTGGCTAGAGGGCAAGAGAAAGAAAAGGGGAAAAGCTTTGTCAGATATGATGTGAGCAAAACCTCAGGGATGGCAGGCCAGGGAACAAAGACAGTAGGAATGAAATGACTGTCATGTGCTTGAACATCCATAAGGTATAAAATATAAATGATACACAGATTATTGTCCACAAACACCCTCATGTAACCATTCTTATGAAGTACCCTTACCGATCATGTTGGCACTGACATTGTTGTACTCAGAGAATTTCAAGAGTTCTCGAAGGAATGCCATCAAGTAACGGAAAACATTTCTATGGCATCTTGGCAGATGAGAAATTACCTGTTTTTAAAAAGGGGGTGGGCAGTGAGGAAAACAGGTGGAAGAAGGGAGTAAGAAGAATTTATAGGTTCAATAAAAGCAGTTTATAATCCAATCCTTGTAGACCCTGTTTGTCACTGCCTTCCATTAGTTACTCATGACCAACATAATACCTTCCAAATTGTATCTTCTAAGTAAGAATGGTCATATTGTTTGGTCCCTGACTCAATGACCAGGCTATATAGTCATCACAGATTTATATGCACACAGTTCTACATAAGAAGGTAGGTATTATAGTGAATCTCACCATCATGTATATCAATAAGACTGGGGTCCTAATTGGAATAAGATATATTCTATGCTTGTATAATTATATCAAATTGATTCTATTGTCATGTATAACTAAAAAGTACCCATAAAATAAAAAAAGATAAAAAAAAATCATATGTGGAAACTTAAAAAGTTAATTTCGTAGAAGGGAAGAGCAGAATAGTGGTCAGCAGGGGCCAGGAACGAGGTGGGGGTGGGGCAACAGAGGGAGGTCATCTGACCAGATACAGTTAAAATAGGAACAGTAGGTACTAGCTTTCTATAGCACGGTAAGGTGGCTGGAGTTTACAACTTATTACACATTTTCTAAAGAACCAGAGGAGAGGAACTCAAATATTTTCAATACAAAGACATGATAAATGTTTAAGGAGATGACAATGTTAATTATACTGATTTAATCACTACGCATTCTCTACCTATATGGAATTAACATACTATACCCTATAAATATGTACAATTTTTAGAAAAAAAGAATTTGAATTAAAAAAAGAAGGTAGAAGTTCATTGGAGTAGCCAAAGAGGAAGGAAGGAAGAGAGGGGGGGGATGACAATAAAAAAGGCAGTATAATGAACTGGACATAACTTTCCTATGTTCATATATGAGTACATGACCAGTGAAACTCCACATCATGTACAATCACAAGAATGGAATCCTAATTAGAATAAGTTATACTCCATGTATGTATGTCAGAGTACACTTGATAGTTGTGTGTATCTAAAAGGAGCAAATTAAAAAAAAATAATAATTAAAAAATTAAATAAACCCCTCCCCCCAAAAGAAGGTAGGTGTTAATCCGTTCTTTTCTCATTCTCCAGACAGGTAGCCAAACTGAATGCTATTCTCTACAATAGCATCACTGAGGATTTCCCCCCAACACTCACTAGTTTGATGTATAGGTAGTATCAGCTATTGTGCATCAAGGTCACTTTAAGATTAAAAATACACCAAGAAGACTCAAGACTTCCTTCCAAATATCACCCACCCTTTTTGGTAATAACCATCAGAATGCCATGTAAAATCAACTTTACCAATCTTAACTCAGAGTAGAGGCTTCCACTTCACTATGTTTTCTGTTAACAGAAATAGGCCAACTGGGAAAAAAAGTGGCAAATATAATCGGAAATAACCTAAAATTTATCAACTCTGAATGCTGGTGTCCTGTCTTGAATAACAGACCCAGACCTATCCTACCATGCAGCTGGATGACTCTCAGGCTTTGTAAAACTGATGATTTCTCTGTGGGGGAACCTGCCCCAAACATATCCTCAGATCAATAAAACTCACCTGTCGGCAGATTCGAGGATCATGAGCAGAGTCAAGACATCGCTGATATAACTCATAACAGATAACTGGCTCTGGCAGGGCTTCCAGGAAAATGAGCAGTGCTTCAGCCACAGAGTGATTACTGCCCGCTGAATCACCTTAAGTCAAGGGAAAGGGGCTCCAGGAAAAAGGCCATTCAGAGTCCCAGCTGGCTGCCTTCAGCAAACTCTTGAAGGGACATTTTCCTCCTTGAATTCAGGTCACACCAAACCTAACTTGGGTTTGATATGTTATTGGTCCAGGTACCCTCCAACTGAGCTGTTACAGAATTGGTCAAAGACTCTGGGAGACTTGGCCCAATTTCAGACTCAGGGGAATTTAGAGACAACAGAATGGGAGTTCCCACTGGAACAATCCTATAAACTAACTGCCAGTGTTTCCCATTCTTCTTCCTCTCCTAATGACAGTACATGTGGGGGCAGGAGTGAAAGATAGGCTTAAGGAAAACAGTCATGGGGCTGTGGTTCTTATGTTCTATGCTTATTAAAATTCACTGTTACCTACCCTTGATTCCCCTTATTAATATCATGACACACAGAGAGGTCAAAATTTACTGAAAGAAATTGAGAAACAACTGGATAGTTAGTGATTATCATAATAAAAGACAACTACAAGGAAAATAAATATAGAAATACGAAAATCAAATGTAGGTGGGAAGAAGAGTTTGGCTAAGCTGGATGGGTATCCAGCTTCTTAAGCCTTGCTTGGATAGAAAGGATACGAATTTTCTCAGGAATGCTGGTATCCAGACAATCAATTATCTGCTGTAACTCTTCCTGCATTCCAGGAGTTTGGAACAGGTCCTCCTACCAAAGAAGTCAGAATGAAGGGAACAAGGCAAGATAATCATCCCCTAGGTTCTGAAGATCACAGCAGAAAGCAAAAGGGAGGGTGGTATGTATATTAATAATTAGGAATGGAAGTTTAAAAATAGCACTTTTCCTCTAAATCATCTCTACAATCCACGTAAAATTTTATTTCAAACAAGAAAAAGATCTTCAGTGGTTTTAGTCTATTCCTGACAGGGCAAAAGAATAGTGGCCAGATCAGGAAACTAGGTGTCCCCCTGACAGCCTCTGGACAAGGCAGAGTGCATACAGCATAACCATGTTCAAATACTAACATTACTAAATGCTCGGAAGGAGTAAATGCCATATCTGTGCTAACCTTGATTTCATGTTATATTACTCTTCAGTAGATAAGAGAACATTACCATCCAATTCAGTCCAAAAGAATTCTCCTTTTGGGAGTAATGGGTCAGGGTGGCTAGTGTTTTAGATCTGATGTAAAAGATTTAAAAGAAATATCAGGACCGAGTTAAAGAAATGAGCTTAAAGTTGCTTTGGACTTTAAAGTCGATAAGGCTATTTGACAGCTAAAGTGGGCATTACAAACTAAGGTACTCAGAAAAATGTGCAGAGCCAGGAGACAGGCATTCTCAGTTCTAGTCCTGGCTCTGCCACTGTACTTAGACCATGGTCTTAGGTAAACCACTTAGCTCAGGTACTTTAGCTGTCACATCTGTTAATAGGGATGCTTCCACCCATGCAGGCAATCTGACAGTGCTGCTGTGTGGAGGTGGCCTGGGGAAGTTTAAAAACACTATGATAGGGCTGGGGTTGTGGCTCAGCAGTAGAATGCTTGCCTAGCACGTGTAAGGTGCTGGGTTCAATCCTCAGCACCACATAAAAATAAATAAATAAAAGTATTTCAAAATATTAAAAAAACACTATGGTGATGTGAGGTCTTAGAACTTCCTATGAGACTTGCACATACACCTGAAATTGCAAGGAAGGCCTACTCTTACTTACCTGGTGACAGGCATATTTGAATAAGTGATCTACTAGAAGCCAGATCTCCTTGGGTACCTGAAGTGGTCTTTCACTGGTACCTTCATCCAAGGGAACCATCTGCAGAAGAGATTTCTCCTAATAGATGCAAAAGGATGAGAATTAAAAGGGTCTCAGAATAAAGACTTAATCTCTTTTGAATTTTATTCATGCTGGGTACAATGTGATCTGTATATCTTAGGATGTTTCACTTTTTTCCTCACTGGGGACACCCCTTGACACAGATTCCCACAGTTAAAGGATCTCCTTTCCTAAATGCTTCATTCAGTCATCAAGTGTTTCACTTGGGTTTAGATTTTAATACATGGATGCATTCTGTGTTATAAATCCTTTCAAGGGTGACACTGAGAATCAATATTTTAGCAAAACAGTCATGATAGGGTCCACCCTTGACTTGTGAACATTGTTACAATCATCAATAAGTACTTTTAAGAAACCATGTCTACAGGTAGGTTTCTGTTTACTTTTAACTTATTCTTCCTTCAGTTTTACCACAAATTTTAACATTGCTGCTTTAAAGGAGGTTCTTTGTCCACATTAGACCCACAGGCATAAATACTTCAGGATTAATACAAGTTTTTATCTTAAGGCACTAAATTCATAAACCTTAAGAACGAAAAATAGTAAATTAAATACAGCAAGTGAATAATCAGAAATATCATGAAAAGTCTAGGGTCTAAGTACAGAAGTTGTTGTTCATACTCATAACTCAGTAAAGATTTCTAGGAGATTTTACTCCTTTCACCTACCTTTCTACTATCTTTTTGATTCTTTTGAAAGAATGTAAGAGAAAAAAAATCCAGAAGTGTTATTTCAATTAGATCAACAAATTTGAGCTTGAAAATGGCCAGGAAATAAACTTAGTTATCCCCTAGCACTCAAAACACAAAAACCCCCCAAAAGGAAAAACCTTCTATGTATGTAGCAAAACAGAAATTATATGAAAAAGATGTCTGAAATAGGTTAAAAGGCTTCTGAAGGCAGCCTTCAGAAAAATCCTGGTGAAGAAATCCTGATCAATCTTTGGCATCCTCCTTTCTCCCATATGTTTAGCTCATTATATATATTCAACTTTAGGAAACAACATTGTGTAACCTGTAAATTCCATCCACAACCCCTATCCATGTATCTTTAAGGGAAAAAATAAACATTTTACTATTTTCACAGAGACCATGTATATTATAGCAGCACTGAGGTCTCTTCTTAACACTGTGTTCTTTAATAAGCACTGATGATCTTCTGAGGCCACTGTGCCTTTCTAAGGTAATAAGAAAGAGAAGGAAGCATGACAGTTGGTTACCATTTAAAGTCTATATATATATTTATATTTGCTTTGTTTCCTTTCTTTCTTTCCCTTGGGATTCTATCACTTGACATTAATGTTCCCTATAGTTGCCAGAACTTCCATCAGTGGCTCAACCATTGACTTCTTTCTGGTTGCAAGTATTAAGTGCAGGTATCCACATGGTGTCTGAGCCAAAGCACTGTCCATAATGTACTCTTCTTTCTGGACCAAATGCAACACATGTACATATTGTTTAGCAAATGCCTCTGAACTCATAATATATAAATTATTCAACACTGATTCATGTATTTTAATATTAAAACACCTAGCATCCAAAGTCTTATTATGAAAATGTACTAAGGTCCTGAGGCAAACACAGGACACTGACCAAGAGGAACAGACAGAGTTTAGACTACTCTTAACAGGGAAGGACTGGGAAGCAGAGCTGTCTCAAATCTTAGTGGTTTAAAAAGGTTAATAATAATGTCAGTAGGTTAGGAGCTGGGGTTGTGGCTCAGCAGTAGAGTGGTTGCCTAGCACATGTGAGGCCCTGGGTTTGATTCTCAGCACCACATAAAAATAAATTAATAAACAACAGATATTGTGTTCAACTACAATAAAAAATAAAAATATTTTTAAAAAATGTCAGTAGGTTATATGTCCCATCCACTATCCATTCTCAAATTCATGTGAGATAATACAAAATGTCATACTTGCATCTCTGAAGTCTAGAGAAAGACACAGTAAGAAAATGGAGAAAGAAACAATAATTTTTAAAAATTCTACAAATTATCTTTTATTCTGAGTTTTGAAGGGAAACAAAGGGACTTTGCCTTCTTTCAACAGTCACATTTGGTGTCTATTAAGTCGATTTTTTATAACCTTAGTGCTAACAATTAAAGCACAAAACAATACAGCATCCCCACTGTCAAAACTCATTTGATGCCACCAAATAGGGAGGCGTCCCATTAGATACTATATGAAAGTGCTGGAGACTGTTCACCAAGCCCATGCTCCTCTACTTGACAGCCCTCTGTAGAGCTGGCCACTGTCCATTGAAGATGGAAAGGCTGTGAGGCACTGAAGAAGGAGCACTTTACTGGGAATGCAGGAAACCTGGGTTCTAGTGCCTACTGCCCCACATCAGATGATCTCTTATGACCTTGTTCAGTTCCACAATTCTAGTCCCTGCTTTATTTCTTATCCATAACTGTGTATTCTTTTAGTAATTAATCACTATTACCATTAACCCAAAACCACTCAATGCAACAGAATTGTATTTGTTTGGCTTTACTATCTTTGGAAATAGGACAGCTAAGTGGTACCTTCCTCCTTCAACTCATGAGCAGATACATCAAGACAGCTCTAGGATGGACCAGTTCAGTGATAGTGTTTGCCTCACACGTGCAAGACTCTGGATTTGAGCCCCAGCATCACAAAACCCACAAACACCCCCCACCCCAAATCTGGAATCTTGAGTTGTATTGCTTTTATGTACTGTGTCTTAATAATGTGGTTGACGCAGTAACATCTTTCCTATACTTCAAATACATTTACATACAGCTAGCAGGACTTTAGGGGATTCTCACCGAGTCAGAGGTCTCTGATATAGGAACACCTAGGGACAAATTCCAGGGACCACAGTTAAGTGTTAATCAAGCACAAGGAAACTCTCATAACCACCAATGGATTGGATTACCTTTTCTAGGAAGCTGTCTTCTTCCTGAGAGCAGAGCAGGAAAAAAGTCATTGACAGATAGAAAATGATTAGAATTTTATTACAGAATTGGAAACAGATCAGTATTAGAACTCACTAGCTTACTAAATTCATATTCTTTTAAAACCTTTTGAATTCTTCAAATAAATTATGATTGTTGAAAATGGAACACAGTCTCCATATGCAAACTTCTCTATTATGCATATTAAATTTTTGTGCAATTTACTGAGAATATCCCTGGAGAAACATATTTGTGCAGGACTAGACTTTTGTGCCAAAGTCTGGCCCAACCAAATACCCACTGATGTCTCTTCCTGTTCAACTGCTACACTATGCAGCTTCTTACCTCACCATAATGCAACCTCAATGGAAGAGTTTGGTGTGGGCCCAACAGTGACCATTCAGAAGCAAATGATAAAGTACATTCTTTTCCACTGCCATACAACTCACTCTAGCTAGCCTCCTGAACAGTGTCCCAAATTCCTTTCAATCTCCTCATACCTCTCCTTCTCAAAGGCCCCTAGAGGCCTCAGATTTGAAGGTTCCTCTGAAATGTAAATGAATTTCATTTCAGACCTTTGTGGCTCATTATCCTCTTTCTGTTTTCTTAGAGGATATTAGAAAAAAAAGAGAAGCAGAAGAGAGGGAAGAAAGTAGCTTTTATATCATTCCTGTATTTATGCTATTATTACAATCCAATTATTATGATTATTACAATTGAATTATTACAATTCAATTATAGTAAGAGCAGCAATAACCACCACCACCGTACCACCACCACTTAAGGAACATCTGCAATGTACCAGGAGCAATGCAAAGTGATTTTTAAGTGATGTCATTTAATCGGCACATGAATATAAAGCAGATATTATTCCCATTTTACAGATGAATAAACTGAGACCCGGAGAGTTTAAATTATTTGCCCAAGGTCACACTTATATAATAAGTGGCAGAACTGGGATTGGAACTCAAGGCCTGAGTAACTCCATGGTCATTATCACCATGCTCCCTCAGACAACTCAAAGAGGGCAAGGTAACTGCTTCCTGGATGGAGAGGAAGAAGCAAAGTGAGAATGCAGTTCTCAGTTTACAGGCTAAAGATAGTGAGATACCCTTACTTGTAAGGCCACATGATTAATAGAAAAAGTATAGGTGTTGATGTTAGATGACCCTGGGTACAAATCTTCCTTCTGCTCCTTAGTTTTGTAGAGACCTTAGCAAGTTATCAAACTTCATATTGCCTCAGTTTCTTCATGTCTAAAGCAGGGATAACAGCATTCATCTCAGAGTACAGTGAAACAGCCTAAATTCAAGGGGTGGTGGGGCATACTCCCAGCACCTCCCTACTGATTTCCTCATGATCTTGCAGTGGGTCTCTAAGAATTCAAGTATAAATCACATGAATAACATCTGTTAGGTAAAAGGAGAAATCCAATCTTACTGAGATGCATAGGGGCTGGGAGTGGTGGCAAGTATGTATTCCCTGACATTGTAAGTGGTAAGGTTGAATGCATTTCCCCTAAACTGTTGTTGTATATGGCCATTAGGTTTTTTTAGTATTGTTAGATACATTACAAATTAAACATGCTTTTGTGGATTTATACAGACTCTTAAATACCACATGAAATAATCAGAGCAACAGTGCTTTATAAAGTACACATTATTTATAGTATTGTAATAGTTTTTAATATAAAATTCTGAGTGTCAAACATCTAATTTAATACAATTCTGGACAACATTTTATAAAATTTAGGTGTACCTATTAACAAAGAGAGAATATTCCTAAAAATTTTTGCAGAAATTTGGTGCACTAACCTGTCAAACCAGGTCTTGAAAGATCTTTGAGTGGTGACCATCTACTAGTACAAGGTACTGTGCTCAATACCTTTGCAGGAAGGGCAATGAGAAATGAGGATACATAAAGAAGAAAGATGTGGTTGGTTCCTAATCCTGGTTTGCCATTGAGTTGGGGTAAGGAGTCTCAGAATTTATGACCTGATGCCATTCCAATTCACATGTAAAAGTTTTATGGCCACTAATCTTTAAAAGTCACAGGATTTTTTTGTGTGTATGGTGTTGGGGATGAAACTTGAGGCCTTGCACATGTTAGGCAAATGTTCTACCACTGAGCTACACTCCAGCCCTGATTCATAGGATTTTAAGGAGTAGACATGAGGAGGGGATATCACAAGTAGAAGAGGAAAGTGAGGTGCTGGTGGCAATAACTGTAGTCCAACTATTCCAAAGGCTGAGGTGGGAGGATCACTTCAACCCAGGAGTTCAGGGCCTGCCTGGGTAACATAGCCAGACTTTAAAATATGTGGAAAAGCAGAAATAAAGAAAGGCACAGAATTATCTTGAAAAATTATGTCTTTATATTTATGCAATTTTTACTATTTCTGTTTGTCCACAGTAAACTTATTAGTAGTAATAAAATGAGTTATGATTATCCTCTGTTAATAAAAAGAAAGGCACAGAAAAGATAAATCACAAGATAAGATTTGGAAGAAGTTAGTCATCTAGCTTGTGGGAACCATAAGCTGAGGTGACTAGAGAACATTGAGAAAAATAGTGGGAAATAAATCTGATCTTGAATAAGAGGTTAAGGAATTTGGACTGTATTCAGCAGGCATGGGGGAACTACATTTAAGCAAGGAAGTGATAGACCACAAAGCAAGTATTATAAAGATCAATCTGATAGCTCTGAAAAGGAAAAATTGAAGGGCAGAGACAGAGGTAAAGAGAACACTAAAGGCAAGCAGGAGAGAGTCAAATCTTAAAATTAATAATGGGAAAATAATTACTAAAAAATGATCAATGGACAGGCTATGGATGTAACTCAATCATAGAGCACCTGACTACCATGTGTGAGGTTCTGTGTTCCATCCCCAGCACTAGGAAAAAAAATGGATGAAAGACAAAACTCTAAAAGAAGACTCAAAAGGACTTTGATTATATACTGATGGAGGGGCAGGAAATTTACATTGAGTGTTTACTTCTCTGGATATAAGATTAAAGAAAATAGATGAAACATAAAAGAAAACACTTAAACCAACATTAGTTTCAATGTTGAAAACAGAAACATTATTTAACCTCCACTGATAAACAGCCTACTTCAAAGGTGGCTAAAGGTTACTAATATACTTAATTCAATGAACTTTAAAGGGTAGAGATGCCCACTCTTTGCAACAGGCTGTTTTGATCACATTTAAAAAGGGAACCTAGGGCTAGGGTTGTAGCTCAGTGATAAAGCACTTGCCTCGCATGCATGAGGCCCTGGGTTTGATCCTCAGCACCACATAAAAAATAAATAAATAAAAATAAAAATATTGTGTCCATCTACAACTTAAAAAAAATCTAAAAAGAAGGAACCTAAGGGTTGGGGTTGTGGCTCAGTGGTAGAGTGCCCCCCTAGTACATGCGAGGCCCTGGGTTTGATCCTTAGCACCACATATAAATAAATAAACAAAATAAAGGTATTGTGTCCAACTACAATTAAAAAATAAATATTAAAAAAATAAAAATAAAAGAAGGAACCTAGATCAGGCTTTCCCCAGTGGGGCAATATTGGCAAATAGCAAATGCAATACAAATCATTCTTTACCCCAACATTTACCCTTAGGAGAACATTCCAAAGTAGTACATGCAGCTAAAATAATATAAAAAGAGTTATATAGAGGTAGAAGATACAAACTTAAAAAGCAGAAAACTGAATGAAAATTGAAGTTCTCAAAATGATTAGTCCATATGAAATATAGAGAACAAAATAGACACCTAACAGATAAAAATGAGTAGGTACATTAGTAGGATAAAGTAAACATCTAGTGAAGAGATCACCAGAGACAAATTAATCACTAGGTTGTTATTCCTGTTATTTGAAATTTTTTATATTCTTCTCCTAATAGACATTTCCCCAATAAATGTTATTTCCCTACTCATTCCTCAGTTTTTTTTCCATTTTAACCAGATTTGACAGTTCAGGGCTATACCCTTTTCCATTAGATTATTCTATAACCAATACCAGAATGTTTCTCCCAACATGTTGATTTATAACATGCTAGTCCTCAAAGCCTTCTGAAGGTTCTGGATGCCCTCTGGCTCAAGCAGAAGCTCATCTGCTGACTTTGTGGCTTTTTATCACTTGCCCCTATCCTAAAGAACCAGTTTTACAAGTTCTTTATCCTTAACCATCATTCTTTCCTAGAAAGTCTTTTTCTTAAACAGGGAATCCAACCCAGGGGCGATTAACCACTGAGCCACATCCCAGCCCTAATTTGCATTTTACTTAGAGACAGGGTCTCACTGAGTTGCTTAGTTCCTTGCTTTTGCTGAGATTTACTTTGAACTCACAATCCTCCTGCCTCACCTCCCAAGCCACTGGGATTACAGGTGTGTGTCACCACACCTGGCATCCCCAGCCCTTTTTTATTTTAAGACAGGGTTTGCTAAGTTGCTTAGGGCCTTGCTAAGTTGCTAAGACTGGTTTTAAACTTGTGATTTTCCTGCCTCAGCCTCTTGAGTCACTGGGATTACAGGAATGGGTCACTACACCTGGCTCGTAGAAAATTTTATAATCTTTCATATGTGGTCTTTTCACTTTCACCTTTTATCCTTTATTCAAGATGTCCCTTGCTCCTGGAAGAGCTTGTTCATCTGATATATGAATATATGCTTCTTAAGTACTTGAATTGGATTGAAAATACTTCTATGACTAACACCAAATCACTTTCCTAATTTACTTTATTCACATGTACTGAACTTATTTCTAGGTCAGGTTAATGTCACATGTATCAAATATCCATTAAGACCCAAATAGGCTGATTTTGAGATTGATTTTACAGAGATTAACAAGTCAATCAATATGCCCTTATAGCATATAAGGGCTTGAGTAAGCAGCACAGGAAAGGAGTCTATTGTTAATACAAACCAAAAGCTCTATAACATTCACTTTAAATGACTTTCCAAAACATTGATTTACCAAATACAGTGGACATTGGACAGTAAAAATAGTTAATGTTCAGGTTATTTCTAACCAAACTACTAACCATGATTCACAAGTTAGCCATACTGTATATCCAAGTATACTTTCATAACCACTAAATTATGGAACCCACATAAAATTCATCCTACTTTATATCCAGTGTGTACCAAATAAATTTGGATTACTATTTGCTACTTATATGCTAGTCAATAAGCAGAAAAATTTATCAATTCTGGAAAAGAATAAAGAAAATTACAAACAGATGATTGTCATCTTTTTCCTATTTGTGCTAATCCAAACTACTCTAGGAGTGGCAGAGTGACTGTTATTAAGAAGAGAAAGAAAAATGAAAAGTATTTATGCCAGTTATTTCATTCTTAGGAGAAAGATATGGCACAAGAATCTTTCTGCAACAGTACATGCAGAGAAAACACATGCACTGGACTGATGTGTTTCTTTAGTTTTATAATTATAATTTTAAAAGTACATAACAAAATAAAGGATGGGTACCACTCTAAAAGGCATCATCTCATGGGATTTGAAATATCATCTTGGGTCTTGGAAAAAATACAAACATTAAACCTAAAGAAGCATTTTAGATCGTTAATTTAGTCAAAACAGAGTACAAAGGAATTAAGAATGGAGTACTGATTATTTTAGATTACTTGCTTATTGCCCCATGCTAATATGGGTAATTTCCTCATCAATGAGACACAGAAATTTAATAACACTGAAATGCAACAGACTTTAAAAGGATAAGAACACCAAATCTACAAAATAAAAGCGTTAAAAGAATAAATGGTGAACACACCAATTTAATAAAAACTGAGAAGTTCTGTAATTAAAAGTGATTAGATTTCTATTTTCAACACTGAATAACTGATACACAAAAAGAAGAGGGCTTCCTACAGAATCATTAATTCTCTAATGATTTTGGATGTTTATAAGTAAATGTGGCAGAATTACCTGATAATAATTCTACATAAACTTTTTTTTATGCTGGTTGAGCATCCTTCCAGCCATTTCCAGAATTAATAAGGAAAAATTATTGCAAAGGCCATAATAATGCCTCTACAAATTCTGACCAAAAATAAGCTAGGTTTCAGTTTATAGGAAATAAAAGGGGAAAAGAGAGCATACAAGGATAATTTAACAAATGTCAAGAAGAAATAGGGCTGGGGCTGGGGCTCAAGCGGTAGCGCGCTTGCCTGGCATGCGTGTGGCCCGGGTTAGATCCTCAGCACCACATACAAACAAATGTTGTGTCCGCCGAAAACTGAAAAATAAATATTAAAATTCTCTCTCTCTCTCTCTCTCTCTCTCTCTCTCTCTCTCTCTCTTTAAAAAAAAAAGCTGGGACAAAGAAAACTGGTAAAGGGTATCGGATATGAAGGGAAGAGGGCAGGAAAAAAATTAATCCAAATGTATTCTAAAACATGAAACACTGAATTTAAAAGGCAGGAATATGGTGTAGAGGAAAAAAAAACAATTATCATGAGAAACAGCAGAATGACAGGATATGAATTTCTGGAGAAAATGGTTCTCTCTCAGAGATAAAACAGTCATGAGGACTCTAGGGAAACAAGTATAATTCCAAGAAAGAATGCTGTGACTGGACTCAAGTGCTTTAATCTGCTATCTGAGTCACAGCTAAAACAACTCCATGGCAACAGAACAGATCATACTCTGACAAGCCAGCAGCCTGGCTCACTGGTCTGGCCCTCCCCACTAGATGATATGATCACTTGGTCTAGCTATGCCAAAAGAATCAATTTGAATACTAATGGTTTGGCTGTCACTTGACTTTACTTTCTTGGGTAAAGATCAAGAATATACTTTTGTAGCCCCAAGAAGTCTGCCCACAAATCCAATAATTTTTTTTTTCATTTAGAAGAAAAGTTCTCAATAGGATGAACTTGTTATTAAGGTGATTTATGTTACTAAAACAATGGGCATTTCCCTCATAAGGACACTGATATTATAACTTGGCTAGGGGCAAGAATTATCCTCCTTTCTTTTCTTGAGTCACATTAAGTATCAAACCTCAATGGGATGATGATAAAATACATAATTCGAGGCCCTATAACCTGAAATTCTGATTTTGCTGCCAGAAGTGAGCAGTGGGAGGAACCTCTAATATAATAAGAACTGCCAGGGATTCTGATGCAGGTTTCTACTATAGGCTTCTATTAGCAGTGAAGTTTTACTGTGATTGGATATAATGTAAAATAGGGAAGAATACTGGAGCAGGAGTGAGAAAAACCCAGGTGATAAATTTGTCACTAACTTATCTGACTTTGGGCAAGTTGATGTCTGTGCCTCAGTTTTCTCATATGCTTCATAAGGACAATAACCACTTGTACCACTTATTATGCCTCGCATACATGCCGACTGAGACAAAAGTGACTTGAGCACATGAAAACCTTAACAAATATGCATTGTATCTTTGAAAAGGGAGCCTTTAATTTTATTTGGTGAGCTTAATATTATCTATTATATTCCCATTAAGAGCTAACTACAGATTAAGTCTCTCCTTTCTTAGGCTTAAGAAGTGCTAAAGTGACACTCTTCTGTAGCACTTGACAGTCCCCTGATTAAAAACAAAAAGCACAGAGATAAGGACATCACTTAAGTATCACGAAGAGTATATGTACAGAAGGCTTGTTTTTGGGTGTTTCTTACCAAGTCTATGAGTTTGGTAACTGGAACTTCTCGGATTGGTCTTTTCATTCGGCACAAAGCTTCTAAGGATGTACCAAAACAACTTGGGAGGTAATTTCCACTGATGGTCAAAAAGTAATCTTTTCCTCGATCCAGGTGAAGGACAAGAATATCTTCAATCTTATCTTCCCCTGAGTTCAGTATGGTCACAGAGTCTTTGCTGACATACACATCAAGAGAAATGTCCACTGTCTCATCTGAAATATAACAGATGATACATAACATAGAAACTTCAAAAGGAAAAGTAAAAGGGTATGAGGCCAACAGAATAAATGTCCTCTAAAAAAAATCACCAAGCAACAAAAACGAAGAAATTGGACACACAAAGGAGGCATAACCAATATAATGACAGGGACGGTAAGAGACATGTGGTTAGAAAACAAGAAGTTAAACCAAGGGTATTGAAGCGTTGAGGAGACTGTTCATGACAAGCAAAGACAATGGTAAAGGGAACACTCACTTGGCTCCAAGTAGCCCTCAAAAGGTTCAGCCCGAAGCCATGGCTTGCAGTACTGGTTGTCATTAAGTTTAGGGATGAAAGAAAAATGGCAGGGAACCTGTCCATTGTTGCTGATCTGGAACTTCTCCTTTTGTAGCTGCCGAAACTTCACATTCTCAAACACAAACTGGGGAATAACAGACAGACACAAACATGCATCACTAGTAGGGGAAGTAAGTCAGTTGGATTATTCCATAGAGAATATGAATAAAGAATAAGGCAATTATTAACCAGGTAACTTCCATATGCATTCACCAACTGAGCCGACTTCACATCATACACTATCATACATTATTAAACTCACAACAGCAGGGAAGGAGTTAAGTGGCTTTTACTGCTTCTCTAGGCTACTCTGATTGGTTCTGGGATCCTAAGAGGGTAACCCATCTTGGTCCAGTGCATTTATTCTATGACCAAAGCTTAGTTTCTAAGATATGAACCATAAACTCTGAAATATTAAATAAGAGTGGCTAATATGGAGCCTTACCAGGTGCCAGGTAGGTGCTATTCCATGTATTAACTCATCTTATAATTAACCCTTAATCTAGTGAAGGAAACTGAGTGAAAGACACTTGCCTGTAATCATACACCTAATAAACAGCAGTACTGGGACTTGAATGGAGGCACTCTAACTCCAGCACACGTGCTCTTAACCACTTTGCCTTATTGCCTTTTCTTTTCCCTTCTTTTCTCTTCTTTTAGTACAAGGATGGAACTCAGGTATTCCTGCATGCTAGGCAAGCACTCAATCACTGAACTCTAGCCTCAGTCCTTTCTGTTTTATTTTGAGACAGGGTCTTGCTAAATTTCCCAGGCTGGCTTTGAACTTCCTTTTTAAAAAAAATTTTTTGGTAGTTGTAGATGGACAGAATGCCTTTATTTTATTTATTTATTTTTATGTGGTGCTGAGGATTGAACCCAGTGCCTCACACATGCTAGGCAAGTGCTCTGCCACTGAGCTACAGCCCCAGCCCTGGCTTTGAACTTTCAACCTTTGTGCTTCAGCCTCTGGAATAGCTGGGACTATAGGCCTTTACCTTTGCCTGGCTCCTTGATGCCTTTTCTAAGTATTATAGTCTCCTTTGTGCTCATCACAATGGGCAGTAGACAGGGAGCCTGTGTATTTTGCTCACCTCCCTCCTGCTGAGTTCTAAGGAAGGAAGGAAGTCATTTTCCATTCTGTCCATGATGCGTACAATATCTTCAAAGACTTTCCGGTACCTCCGTTCATCCACTACCTTCACCTAAAAGAAAACAAACCCTCTTTTCAGTCTTACGTGCTCCCAGTTCATCTCCCTTTGAGATTATTTAACAATTCAATCGGTCATTAAAGCGATCATTTAAAAAACTGTGATATGAATAACATCCTAAAAATTTGACATCTTGTTTCATCCACGACTTTCCTCTGAAAGAAAATAGATCTTTATTTTAGTCTTCTGTATCTCCAAAGGTTCTCTAAAATAAAGAAAGAAAGAAAGAAAGAAAGGAAGGTATTGTCTCTATCTACAGCTAAAAATAGTTAAAAAAATAAATGTTACTAAAGCAAACATAAATTAATCTAGTAAGTATTATAGAAGCATACACTTTAAAGTAAAGGTAAGGTTAATTAATTGTCTAACTTTCTAGAAAAGTTAAATCTCTAAGTTAAAAAGCTTGGTAATAATAAATATTTGGGAAGAAAATTTTCTTGCTCCATTGTTAATTTATTTTGTACTTGAGAAAATGTGATGATTGTGGTAAAAACGATTTTCTGCATTGTACATAATGACAGTGCCAAAATATACCCATTACTGTTTTTCACAATCATCATAAAGTAGTGAAACAGCAGAAAATATGATTAAAGCATTTAACTCCATTAGCTGTTATGCACAATGCCAAGAATCATAATAACACTGCTCAGATTATATAATAGCAAAGGTATGTTAGTAAATGGAAACTGGCCATTTTAGAAAATGGCCAACACATAATGTTCTGGAGTAAAACCATGGCAACAAACAAATCATCTGGACTAATCAAAATATTTCCCACCTGATACAGCACTTTAACTTCCTGATGTAGCCGTATTTCTTTTTTTAAAAAAAAAATGTTACAACTTCATACAAACCAATGGTAAAAGTTAATATAAATAACAGCATTTTAACTTACTGAGACATCAGATTCTTTCTTAGAAGAAAAAATTGCACAATATTCCATGTTTTTAAAAAAGATTCATGTATACAGAAAAAGTTCTAAAACAGATGTGGAAAACTGAACATCAAAGCTGAGCCAAAGATCTCAGACTGGAGAAGTTTTTTACATATTTGAACCAGAACTCTTAGGGAACTGAGGATTAATCACTTTAGTGTCACCAGGTTCCATATTATACACAGTGTTAAGATGAATTTTATACTTTCATGAAATTTTGTGAACTTTTTATTTCAAGAAAGTATTTTACATGTCTTTTTATGACAATAACCTGCAAGGTTTTCAAAGCAAGGAATATTCTGATAGTTAAGAACATCAAGATATAAAACTTGCTCACTGCCAGAGTATACCAGAGGTGATGGCTGGACTTCTAGCTGGACTCTTTCTAAAATACTAAATATTGGAAAGAATTAACTTGGTTAAGTCTTAAATATCACAGGTGCCTGGGCCTACCAATCACAATCTTCAGGGGTACCCATGCATCCATACATTTTTAAAGCTCTCTGTAGACAATTCTGTCCCTAGAAGTCTGAGAATCAATCAACAGATCACAGTACCAAGCCCAGGGGTGGAACCCTATCTCACCTTAATCTCAGTCAGCCCACAGCAAGTGTTCTGAAATTAAATGGCCAAAGAGCATTTGGCTTCTTTGCTAACAAGTCATTGGTGCCAATGGTGGTGAAAATATAATGTGGTTTTTAAAGCCTCTAATCATAGCATGCCCAAGAGTCCAAAATATGGAGTAGTTACTCAATAAAAGCAAACACTTCCTCAGTGGGTTAACATGAATTAATGGCACATTAAGGATAATGAGGCTGGGAAAACCAAAGAATTCACCATCTGCTATATTCATTTCAGAAAAACAAATTACCAACAAAATTAGGAATTAGAAAAAAGTACAATGAGCTAGATCTTTATGTAATATATTATAGAGAGCTTTTGAAGACATGCTATTAAATGTCAAAAAAAAACCAAGTCACAGACCAACACATATGGCATGAGACTACTTACAATATATGCAAAGTTATACACAAAACAGTATTTTGTCTATGGGTAAACAAAAAAGCACATGCAAAGGTCTAGAATTGCACTGTCCAATACAATAGCCACTAGACATGTGGGGGACATATAAATTTAAATTGCTACAAATTGAGCCCAGTTAAAAATTCAGTTCTCAGTCACAATGGCCACACTTCAAGTACTCAATAGTCACCTATGCCTAGAAGCAACTGGACTGGACAGCACAGACATAGGATATTTCCATCATCACAGAAAGCTCTAGTGGACAATTCTGGTCTAGGAAGATATAAACTTATAAGGGGCATTGGACTGGCTGGGAAGGGGGTTTATGTAAAGTTGGGAGTAGGAGATGAGGACAGGGATTGAAGAACTTCAGGCATATTTGTAAATTCTGCTTAGATTATTATTTTAAAGAAAAAGCACTTTTATTTTTTTAAAGTCATTCTTTTTTTATTTTTATTTATTTTAAACTGGTATATAATTTTTTAAATTATTAACAAGTAGAAAAGTAGTCTTTTGTTAAATACACACAAAAATACTCAAAAAGCCTATAAATTTAAAAAAAAATTATCCTACTGAAAGCTCTGGATTAATGTGTAATAAAGCATTAAAAATATTTCAAGGTTCTGCTGGGCATGGTGGTGCACACCTGTAATCCCAGTGACTTGGGAGGCTGAGAAAGGAGGATTGCAAATTTGAGGCCACTATTGGCAGCTTAGTAAGATCCTGTCTCAAAAAGGAAAGAAAAGAGCGAGCTAGGGATGGAATTCAGTATTAAAGCATCCTGGGTTCAATCCCCAACACCTGGAAAACAATATTTCAAGGTTCTGAAAATAAACACCAACAAAAAGCCAAGCATAACTGATTAAACCAAGGAGGTTAGTGTTTGAGGAACAACATCTTCATAAAATGGATTAAGAGAATTCAAACGAAGAAAAGAGGTATGCCTCCAATTACAATATGGAATTTGATGGGCTAAAAGTAAGATCTGAAGGCAGATTTAGTTAAAAAGTACTTTAGAATACGGGAATTGTGGGGTAGTGGAAAGACCATAGGTTAGGGAGTTAAACAGACTTAAGATTTGAATCTCAGTTCTCCTTCTAGCTAAATACTCTCAAAGAATTTATCTTAATTTGCAAGTTTTCCATTTGCTCATCTGCTAAGTGGGAAATATTTAATTCAAAGAATTGTTGTGGGAAGTAAGTGAGATATGTAAAAATTGCCTAGCACAGTTCCTGGCACACGGCTACTAACTTACTATTATTACTCATTATTTTTTTAATGATTTCCAAATGGGGATTGGTGGTATAACTCAGTTGTATAGTATGTGCTTAGCATGCACAAAGCCCAGCAACACACACACACACACACACACACACACACACCCCTAGCAACCAGGGAAACACAAATTAAAACTACACTAAGATTTCACCCAATCCAGTCGAAATGACAGTTATCAAAGAAACAAATAATAATAAATGCTGGTGAGGATGTTGGAGGGAAAGAACACTTACACATTGTTGGTGGGACTGCAAATTAGCACAACCACTCGGGAAAGTATATGGATATCCCACAAAAAAACTAGGAATTGAACCATGCATGTAACCCAACTATTCCACTCCTTGGTATTTATCCCAAAGGAAAAAAAAAAAATCAGCATACCATAGTGATACAGTCACATAGGTGTTTACAGCAGCACAATTCACAATAGCCAAATTATAGAACCAGCAGAATTTCCCATCAATAGATCAATGGTTTAAGAAAATGTGGTATATACACATAATGGAGTTTTACTCAGCCATAAAGAACAAAATTATAGACAGGTGGTGCATGCCTGTAATCCCAGCAGCTTGGGAGACAGAGGTAGGAGGATAACAAGTTTGAGGCCAGCCACAGCAATTTAGCAAGGCTCTAAGCAATTAGTGAGACTTTGTCTCAAAATAAAAATTAAAAAGGGCTGAGGATGTGGCTCAGTATTAAAGAGACTCTGGAGTCATTCCCTGGTACCAATAAATAAATAAATAAAAAAGAATGAAATTATGGCATTTATGGTAAATAGATGGAAGTTAAACAAGCCAAACTCAGAAAATCAAGTGTCCAGTGTTTTCTCTCATATGCGGAAGCTAGAGCAAAGTAAGGGAAAAAGGGGTGGGGGATCAGGTATAATAAAGATACAAAGAAGATCACTGTAGAAGAAGAAGATGATTGGGAGGAACAGGAATGGGGAGGAAATACAGAATGAATTTGACAAAAATCAGGCTATATGCATGTATAAATATTCCACCTTTATGTATATCTATAAAGTGCCAATTAAAAACAGACGAATAGGGGCTGGAGTTGTAGCTCAGTGGTAGAGCGCTTGCCTTGGACATGTGAGGCACTGCATTCAATTCCCAGCACCACATATAAATAAACAAATAAAATAAAGGGCCATCAATAACTAAAAAAATATTTTTAAAAATAGACAAAAAATAAGTGAAAGGAAGACCAGTAGAGTAGAGAAAGGGGAATAGAGGGAAGGAAGAGGAGGGAAAGCAAGGAGGCACCGGGGACTGATATGGAGTAAATTAAATTCCACATATGTATGAGTTTGTCAAAATGAACCCAACTACCAAAACTCATTAAATATCAAGGAAAAGCCACTGGGAGAAACATATTAACAATAAATTAGTATAGAGGTGAAAAAAATCATGTGAAATAGTTGCTTCTGCTGCAAAGAAATGCTATAACTTTCCTTTTTATATGTGTGATGTCTGGACCGACTGCTACTTAAAGTAATAAAATATCAAAAACTTAAAAAAATGAACACACTATTCTATATAACTATAATGCACTAATAAAAACAAAACAAACAAAAACAATCCCACAATACAATTTTCTAATAGACAAAAACCAAAATGATGACTGTCCTGATAAAATTTAAAATATATTCAAGGAACAAGAATTGGGCTGGGCACGAAAGATGGTGAACAAGATGGACATTATTACCCTAGGTACATGTATGACTGCATCTATGGTGTGACACTACATTGTGTTAGACCAGAGAAATGAAAAGTTGTGCTACAATTGTGTACAATGAATCAAAATGAATTCTGCTGTCATATATACCTAATTAAAATAAATAAATGAATTTTTTATTAAAAGGAACTGGGCTGTGGTTGTAACTCAGTGGTAGAGTGCTTGCCTCGCACATATGATACAGTGGGTTCGATCCTCAGCACCACATAAAAATAAACAAATAAAATAAAAATAAAGATATTGTGTCCATCTACAGCTAAACAAACATTTTATTAAAAAAGAATAGGAATTAATTTTGTTCCTCCAGGAAAAGTCCTAAGGTCATTCTTTCAAAAAGAGGAGTGGGATAAGCAATGCTGGTGATAGCTATCTCAGAAGCAAAAAAAAAAAAAAAATTGATATAAACATAGAGGAATGAAATCTACCCTATTATACTCTTTACAAGTTTGAATTCATTAACCTGCATAAGTAGGTACCATTGTTATCCACATTTTATAGAGGAGGAGACTGAGACACTGGGACATTACATTCTATGACCACACAATTAGAAAATGGCTGAGCTGAAATGCAAATTCAAGGAGGCTACTATAAAGTTCATCCTACCGAGTCCTGCACTAGATAAATTGACAGATTACATGTCCACAAGTGTGGAAAATCCACAAGAAATACTGTAAACATACTGGCTATAATAAATTAAATCAGCAAGATTACAAAACGTAATCTGTATATTAATAACACACAGCTAAAACATACAATGGGAAAAGAAAACTTTACTCACAAAAAGATTCGAAAAAAATTAAATAAATGGCCATTAACTCAGCCCAAGATGCAACAACATTAAAGAATAACTTAAAACCTATGCTCCTAGACAGGAAGACTTTACTGTAGTAGGGATGGCACCACATATACCTCTTAAGCTAATATGCAGATTTGGTCACATTCTGATCATCTGTGCCTTTTCTCCTGCTGTCAACCCTCACCACCCCAAATCTCACTCCTGGTACTTCCCTTCCTTCCTATCTGATGAAAAGTCAGTCATACTTTAATACGTAGCTTCCAACTTTTCTTTATGGTACTGACTTTAGGAGGTTCAGGTCACCACCCAATCATTAGGTACCATGAGAAAATTCTGTGTCACACAAAGGTCTGGCACATGAAGACTATAAGGACAGCAATTGGGAGGACTGAGGGTATTAACTTTTCAACACCTGCAAATGATTATTCGTTATGGAACATTAATGCTCACTAAAATACTAATCTGTTCTGAGTCTAAATAATGCTCTAGAAATACTTAACACAGAAATGAATGAACAAACAAGTGTTCACCCCAATATGGAAGAGGGCGCTAACAGGCTTGTGGTCACTGGTTTTCAGTTCCATGTGACTCCGGTAATAAAGCTGATTAACATTTGTTCCTCTCCAAAGAATTCTGTCACACCAAGCTGGAACCCGACATTTTCCACTGTAAATAAAAAAAATGAGGTAGAGTGAGAACATATCACAGAAGAACATCTACCTACCACACTGGTTTAAGACCTGCATTAGGCCCTTTTGTTATATGCTCCCAAATAGCCATGTATTCCTTTCCAAAGGACCCCTATCATCTACCTGACTGCATTGCAAGCTCTGTTAAGAGACTGTGTCTGCTTGTCTGCCATGGAACTCCTGGAATGTAAGCATAGTATCTGGTGTAAAGTGGCTGCTCAATGAATAGTTATCTAATGAATGAATAAATGGTTCTTCTAAGATTAGGATTACATCTTCAACAATTTTCTTAAAATAGCCTCAAAAGGTCAGGATTCTATTCTGAACACTTCCTCTTTCTTTGCTCTATGTTGCAACATACAGATAGCTAATAAGGTTTAAAAATCCAAGCCTCTATTCCTAAACTAGGCTTAATCTCTGGAGAGGATTAATAAGAGATTTCTCCTTAAACCTGAACTTTTATGGACAAATGTAGCTTCTTCTGAAAGATATGAACTAATTTCAAAGCATTTAAGACTGAGTATGCAACAATCCATAGACACTAAGAGTAGGAAGAAACCTATTCATCATTCTAGTAAAATAAGCAACACCTTGTACACCTGATCTAGAAAATGACATGAATATTTCTTATCAGTAGCTCTACAGCTGGATCTCAAGTGAGGTGAGTGGAAGAAACAAGGTAAAGTATACATCATCCATTAGTGTCACTTTTCTTTTGGTGACCAGCTCCATTGGAACATAGGAATACAGACTCCTCCCACCCCATGCTGCCCCAGAGTTCTCAGAGAAGGAAACAGCTGAGTATGCCCAGGGATGCTTTCTCTTTCAAACTTCTGTGTTCAACCAGCTATTAAACTATAAGAAACAAAGATTGTAGGGAGAAGAAAAATAATTACCAAGAACTTACTGACAGGAGCACTTCACTGGGGTGATTAGGCAATCAAAAGGTCTCCTAGATCATTCTTAATTTTCTCCAATAGTGGCAGATATGGAGTCCAGGCATCAGTATCTTAAACAGCTCTCTAAGAGATTCTAACATGTTCTCAGGGTTAAGAACTACTGTGCTAGAACAACCTTTCATGGCTCTATGTTTTTACCTTTTGGTATCTTGCATTAAACAGCTGAGAAGCACTTTGGGTACAAAGGACCAGAAGAGGGCAAAAGGTGAGAAACAGGGGCAAGATTAGAAGTCAGAAATCTAAGCAAGGGCCAGTGTTGTGGTTCAGTGGTAGAGTACTTTGCCTAACATGTGTGAGGCAGTGGGTTTGATCCCAGCACCACATAAAAAAATACACAAATAAAATAAAGGTATTGTGTCCATCTACAGCTAAAAAAATATTTAAAAAATCTAAGCAAGTATGTTGAGGTGATAAAAATACATACTACAGGCAACCCATAAAACTTCACCAGCTCTGACATAAAGTAATAATACTTTCCTAAGATCACCTTTGAGTACACAGAAATTAAAAACACCCTGGTAACAGCACTGAGCCATTAGGTTTTTATCTCTTCTCATGGTATGGACTAAAAAATTCGTAGTCTCTTACTGACATAGGAGAGACAAATATAAGATTAAGACTTAACTTATTCTGTGAGGAGGTTCTTATTACTTTACCTGGAATCCCATCGGTCTGTTTTCGAGTCATACTTGTAAGTGGGGATAAATTTGATTTCCCCTTCATTGAAGTCTACAAAAGCTTTTTTCTGTGTGCGCTGGATATTTAGCTAAAGATAGGAATAAGATCACATAAGCATAATACTCTCTTAATGTAAGTGATAATCAGGTTGATTAGTCACTATTCCCATTTCTTTTTCCTTTTTTATTCGTGGAAGTAGGGATTGAACCCAGGGTGGTTCTACCACTCAGCTATATCCCCAATATTTTCCACCCCTTTTATTAGTGTATTAAAGATGCACATAATAATTGTGTTAATTTTGACATAATCATACATGCATGGAATTTAATTTATTCCATTACAGTCTTCCTGGGTTCCCCAACTTTTCCCCTCCTCCTCTCTCCTATTCCCTCTTTCTCTACTGTCTACCTTCCATTTATTTATTTGTTTTTAATGGGTGCTTTATAGATATACTTAAAAGTAGAATTCACCATGGTATATTTATACTTGCACATAGCATAATTTTGTCAAATTCATTCTGTATTTCCTCTCCTTTCCCATCCCTCCTCTCTCCTAATTTGAGACAGGGTCTTGCTAAGCTGCTGAGGCTGGCCACAAAGATCTTCCTGCTTCACACTCACTCCCCAGCAGCTGGGATACAGGCATATATCACCATGCCTGGCTACTGCTTCCCTTCCTAAGTATCCAATTCCACAGCTTTTACAACTGTGGGGGACTACATAAATAAAATTTCTGTATCTTATGATTTAAATATTGGCATTCCCACAGCATCTAAATTCACCCTCATATAGGATACACATTATTTGCACACCACTATTTTTTTTTATCACTAATAGTGGCTAGAGGTAAAATGGAAACATGAAATTTGAATAATCATAAGTTCCTTGGAGCTGGGCAAGAACAATCCAGCAAAATTATAATTAAATATAAACAAACAATTGTTAAATGGATAATTCCAAAAATTGAATTCAGGAATAGTTACAAATTGTTTTGAAAGTTATCCTCACTCAATTATTTTACCAGAGTTACATAAGATTCAGAATTTACTCCAACTGTACTCCTTTTGGAGGCAGGAAAGAGGAAGAAATGCAAAGAAATTAGCCAAACTCAATACAAAGGTAAACAGTCAAGAAAGGTTCCCTACAAAAACCATACTACAGTAAAACATCTGAACTTTGACCATGTCTAAAGGCCAAAATGGTTCTCCATAAAGATTTAAAGACATGTGAATTAAGTGAAAACATTTTCTTTCCTCAATAAGAAGCATTCATTCTTATGCTAGTATCGTGATATTCTGTGTATTTATTCAAGGGAAATAAAATCAATATATCAAAGTGATACTTGCATACCCGTGTTTATTGCAGCTCTGTTCTCAATACCAGATACAAAATCAATCTAGGTGTCCAACATGGATGAATGAATAAAGACAATGTGATATATATGCACAATGGAGTATTATTTAGCCATAATGAAGAATGAAATAAATCATGTCATTTGCAACAAACTGGATGGAACTAGAGGTCATTATGTGGTTAAGGGAAGTAAGCCAGACACAGACAATACTAAATGTTGTCTCTAATATGTGGAAGTTAAAAAAAAAGGCAACCTCAATATAAAATATGATACTAAAGGCTGGGGAGGGTGGAGGGGAGGGTAGATTTGATTAGTACATGCTGCATGCATGTGTTGATATATCACACTGAACATTATTAATATATACAATAAATGCATGTTAATCAAAAAATTAAAAAGCTTGATCAAATTGTGTTTTTATGTATGTGCAAATATCCCACAATGAAACCCACCATTCTGTATAATTCATTTGGATAAACCAATAAAAAAAATCTTGGAAAGGATTTCATTCTTCAATGATGTTTAGGTAACCAATCATCCTTTCCTTGGGTGAATTAGATTTTTCAAAAAGGAAAATTTCAAGACAAAGGAAAATGTGTTCATTCTTTCTACTTGACACTGACTCTAACTAGAATTATTTTACCAGAATTTAAATGTGTTTTATGGAATAAACTGGACTCCACCATAAAAAAATCACTAGCTTGTAATAGCCAGTATCTATATACTGAAGTTAAAATTTAAGTCACATGCTGGATCTAGCAGAAAATATACTTACTGTCTCACATATATGGGAACTGGATTCCTGAATATCAGGTTTTACCTGAATGTTACAGAATTGGTGCCTTTTCCACAGGTTTTAACACAAACAGCTATATACAAGCTAAGGCCCAACTTATCAATCAGTTCAAATCAGATTATAGCTTATGCTATTTTTCCCAAACAAATCTTTCTTTTTAAAACATTTTTTTAGTTGTCAATGGACCTTTATTTTTTGTATTTACATGAGTTGCTGAGAATCAAACCCAGGGCCTCACAAACATTAGGCAAGCGCTCCACCACTGAGCCACAACCCCAGCCCCAGCAAACAAATCTCTTTTTGGTGCTTCCCAATTTCCCTCATGGGACCTCCTTTTTTTTTTTTTTTTTTAATAACCTCCAAACTGTTGCTCAGTCTGCCAAGTAATCATAGAACAGTTTTCCCTGTTCCATCTGCCAAACCACAGCAACAGAAATGAAGGCCCACTTCCTCCAGGAAGTGTTCTCCAATTAACCCCACCCATTCTCCAACTCATTTATACAAATCTCTGCCTGCTAATGTTATATTTACTTTTTATCACCAATGTTATTTCCCCTCTTCCCATCCAAACACTTAATCAAAGCACTATAAATACAGTATGTACTCAATTCATCACTAGTCACACTTTTTGCAAGACAGTATGACTTTTCCATCTCTTCCTAGAGTAAAACATGCCTGTCATGTGTCTATTTCATACTCCTAATAATCTCTGCCATTGAAACTTTACTTACCTGATCGAATTTCAAGAGTCTCTGAAGATCATTCTTACTAATAAGACTTTTCACTTCACTGGCATCAGGCATGCAAAGTCTGTAGTTCAAATCTCCCAACCAAATTACAACACTGAGGACCAAGAAATATTTGAACAGAAGTAGATCAGCATAAAAATCAGAGTAGAATGAAGAAAAGAAAATGAGTAGATTATTTACAAGGATTCATTCATCATTATAAAAGTTTAAAACTATCATTAACCCTTTGGGGGCAAGTACCATCAACACCTGAGAGAGAAAGGATTATAAAATAGGTGGGAAAACAGGTACTCCGTAAATGAAGAACAAAACTGGGAAATATAGTATACATACAGGATTCAGCAGCCAAGGAGTTAATGGACTGAGAAGAATACGGTTTATTTGCTGGATTAGCTTCAAAGTTTTGCCTGGTTGCTTGCCAGGTATTTAGGAGAAGAGAACTGAACATTTTTTTTTTTTTTTTTTTGACTCTCAGAGCTCTGAGATTCTTCAGACTCTGCTAAGGTCTGCATGGTCAGGACAGCTCTCTGAGATGACCCAGTAGGAAAATTAGGTCCAGGGCTCTCCAGTATAGCCAACCTATCTACACCTGCCCAAGATTTGAGGGCCAAATTGCAGTTAAGAAGGAGACTGGAATCCCATGGGATACTTAGCTCCCAATGACAGTGTTAAGCCTTTGAGATGTGCTGAAAGGGAGACCCTAAAATTACCAAATCAAAACAGATTCTCTTGTGAGCTATCAAGTTCCCAATGAGTAATGCTACCAATTCCAAATTCAATGTGAAAATTTTGAGATAATGAGGAAATAAATTATGTAATTGTGGGGCAACTTCATGAGCATAAATTTCAAGGCCTTGACTTTACCACTTTGAAACAGAATTATATATGATCCTAACTGTTGAAACAATATGGAAATATTCCAATACCACTACCCTTCCCTAATCTTTCCTCAAGTATCCTCCTCTCTACTGATTCTAATACCCCTAAATCATCCTTTGTTTTCCTAATTTCCATCTCAAACTTATCCCAAATCACACTCTCAGAAATTTAATGACCAGTATTAACTAATCATTTTCCACTATCACCCCATAAATTCCTCAAAGAATTTCTGCTTCTATCCCAATTAAGTCCCATTCTTCACTAACCTCTTTCTGCCATCCCTATTAATAATCACAGCCACTAAAAATAGTAATGTGGATTTGTATGCACTGACTTGGAGAGAAATCCATAATAAACAGAATGATATGGTCACATACAATAAGCATGTATGTGTTTGTATATGTACAAAGTCTAGGATAGCACTGTTGAATGGAATTAATTATAATGCATGTCACAATAAAATTTTAAATTTTCTAGTAGCTGCATTTAAAAAGTAAAATAAACAAATGAAAAAAAATTTCCCTTAACCCAACATATCCAATTTTTTATTTTGACATGTGATTAATATTTAAATTGTTGAAATGGGATACATTTTTCCCTACTAAGTTTTCAAAATCCAGTGTACAGTTCATGCTTCCAACACATCTCAAACTCGGAGAGCCATTTTCAAGTGTGCAATAGCCACATATGGCTATTGGCTATCATATTGGACAATGTAGATATAGATGGATATACACCCAACAGTTAAGAATATTTCCTTTGGAGATTGGGATGGCTGGGGAGAGTAAAGGATGAGAAATGAGGGATTGTTACTGTTAATCTTATCTTTTATTACATTCACAATGAACACTTCTATTTTATAATAAAAACAAAAATTGACTGAATCAACAGATCCCTTCAGCATTATTCTAGATGCTCCACTAATTCCACTACCCTTTCTTTTGATGGCAAATCTAATTTCTCTACCTCAATGAGTCTGCTATTCCTAAAAAAGATCCTCTATTCTTTGTGACCCCAATTCCTAAATGGAAATCCCTTATTCCTCATAGCTCTATGATTTCTCCCCACATTTAATCTCTTCTTATGTCTATATTCAAAGGCCATGGGAGATTTGCCACTCACTCATGTTTCATAATGTTCAGTTGTGGAAGGGTCTGATTGGGGACCACAAAACTCATTCTTGCACAGATGTCCTTATAATCTTGATTCCTTCTCTCAAAGTCTTCCACATGGGCAGCCAGGTGGGAATTAACAATGCAGAAAGTAGTGTTGTGAAACACAAATCTCACAGCTACCCCACCTTTGTTTCCCTGTTAGCAAAAGTAATTATTCAGTTAGCACAACAACTAGAAATTGAATTTATTGTGGACATAAACAATAGTCAATTTCATTTCCAAAGTAACTCACCATTTTCCCCATGATTCCAGTTCCAACTGTTTCTGTAGCAACATCACGGATGTAACGATACTGATCCTTTCTGGCAAATATAAGGAGCATCATCCCAACAAGGCGAACTAATTGAACCTATGAATGCCCGGGAGTTAAAAGGGTTTGTAATACCACTTTTTACTGCATATTTGACTTTCCAAAATAAATATTTTCACCAAAATGATATACTGATCCCTAAATCTGAATCCAAATCCTCTGATTTCTCACCAGATCCCATAAAGTAGAAAACAAAATTCTCTGGGGAAGCTCTAATAAGGCTGGCTAATAAGAGTTAAAAGCCTTAACAGGTATAGTGGTGTACACCTGTGATCCCAGAGACTTGGTGGCAGAAGCAGGAAGATGGCAAGTTCAAAGTCCACCTTGACAACTAAGCAAGACTGTCTCAAAATAATAAAATAAAAAGGGATGGGGATATAGCTCAGTGGTAGAGTTCAATCCCCAGTATCTCCTCCCCACACACACCCCAAACCTTGAGTGACAACAAGTACATTCAACTCTAGATCTATTAATCACTGTTTAGCCTACCAAGAGTCCATTAAAAATTGAAATAACAGGGACTGGGGTTGTGGCTCAGTGGTGGAGCGCTTGACTAACATGCATGAGGCACTGGGTTCGATTGTCAGCACCACATAAAAATAAAATAAAGGCATTGTGTACACCTACAACTAAAAAATAAATATTAAAAAAAATGAAATAACAAAGACAAGACTGCTATCCCAGTTTCTTCCTTCCACTTTTCCTTCTTAGTTTCTGATTTCTAATTTTCTATTAAATTTAAATCTATAAACAATAATTCTTTTTCCTTTGATTTTTAAAAAAAATTTAGTTGTTGATGGACATTTATTTTATTTATTTATATGTGGTGCTGAGAATAGAACCCAGTGCCTCACACATGCTCAGCAAGCGCTCTACCACTGAGCTACAACCCCAGCCCTCCTTTGATTATTTTTAACTTGTGAACAAGAGTTGGAAATATGTGTAAGATGTTTATTTGTTTGTCTTTGGTGGTGCTGGGGATGGAATACAGGGCCTTGCACATGCTAGACAAATGCTCTACCACTAAGTCACATTCCTAGCCCTTGAGATGTACTAATCAAAAACCTATATGAGAAGAATAATATCTTTAGGAGTTATGTTTCCTATATAAACTGCTAAAAGATAGAGAGGTAATTACTCAGATTACTCCTTTTAAAGAGCTCAGGAATGACAGCACTGTGTTAATGTGTATTTGTTTTTAATTATCAATATGAGAAAAATAAAACTGTTTTCTCCTTAAGCCTATCTAAGCAATGAAAATATTGGATCAGAAAACTGAAGGAAATCTTTTTTCTTAGGAAATAAGTATGAATAATTAGTCTGCCCTATCTTAGTATCACACAGGAGAGAATTCAATTAAATCATTCTTTTAGAAGAAGTTACAGATAATGGAATAACTCTCAGTGAGTTCTATTTAGTCATATACTAAAAAAGATTATTAAATGCAGCTTACTTTCTTATACTTGGCTTTGGAATGCAAACCCCTTTCCACAGCCATGGACCACTCTTGTTCCTTCACAGATTCAAAGTAGAAAAAGGCCTCTGTGCTCAAATCCAGCTCCTGGAATCTGAGAGACAGAAGAAATGAGATCTATACCTTTCCCGAATTATCTCTGGCTACCTGTCCTGTTTCCTTGCTGAGAGACATTATACCAATAAAGAATGGGAAAGAGAAATTTTATAGAACTGTTCTGTTGACCTAGATTATCAGTAATTTAAACAAGTAAGATTATCAGTAAGTTAAGTAAGTTGCTTTTTTACCTAAAGAATGAATCCCCACTATTGTTATTTATAAGGTATACAGAAAACAAATCAAACCTCCCTCAAGGGATATTGGCAGAGCTTTGCTCTTATAACAAAGGAAAAATCATTATTAGAATTGACCTCAAGTCTTGTTTTCTATCTAGAATATAGTTTTCTATGAATTTCAAGAGGACCAGGTTCTTCTTTACACCATGTTAGGTATCTGTTTCATTCTGATTTCACAAATATGATCCACAGTAACTCTCATCTATATGGTCACAGTAGGTTTTTACAAAATATGTTTTAAAAGAAGGTAAACATTATGTAAACTAACACCAAACATAGCCAAAAGGGAGTTCTAGAAGTGTTCTTTACCCAATGCAGTAGATATCAGGAGGATTCGGATCACAGTTCAGCCAGGGTTCTAACGCGCTATCTGGAGACTGGCCATTCACATTCCAAGTTCCAACAAAAAATCTAATACATAATACCAAAAATAATTTGAAAACAAGGGTCAAGTATGAACAAACAGATATCTTCTCTTGTCATTTCTACACAAGGGTATATTCACAATAAGCCAACATAATTCCTCAAAGTGTTTTGCCACACACACACGAGAAAAAGCTCTTGCATGTAGAGTACAAAGGCAGTAGGTTTATTTTCCCTAAATTTTACATTGAAAGAATCTACAACAGGAGCCAAGTCTCTAATTTAAAAACACAAAGTTAATTGCTCTACCACATTTTCTTTCAGTTAAACCCATCCAAAGTCTTACTTGAATGGAGAGCTTATGGATGGCAAAGGGGTATCTTCATGTTGCAAGCTATTCTAATATGGATAACTGTTCTGTAAGGAGCTGTAGTTGCATCCAAAAACTCACTTCCCAAAGGATTACAAGGACATCTGCGTAGGAAATTCTGATGAGGCAGATATAGTATTAAGGGAGGAAAGCAGAAGGGCTGTCTTAAGTGTTTACATACAAATATTCGTGTGGAATATGAGGAACTGAAAGTTTTCATAAGGATATAGTTATGATTGAATTAGAATAAATAAGGCATAATAGGACAGCAGATGGAACTGGAGTCTTAGACTACATGGACATTCTCTTCATGAATAACAAAGAGAGGTGTTGTTGCTTCACATACTAGGGATAGATGCCATACATCACCTATATCAGGTCCAGAGAAGAGGATATTAACAAGTAAAGGTGAAATGAAAAATAATACAGAGGAAAGAATCCCATTGATAGACCTTTTAACCAAGAAGACTGGGAGTAACTTTCTTTAATTTACCAAAGTAAGTTAAGAAGTAATGGTGAACTTTAATTTTCCAATATTAACTGGAAAAAAATTCAGCAGGCCAGATAAATATACATACTTGCTTATGAAATGTTCTAGGGAACAATTCACTAGTATATGAGAGCTTGATTTTGTTCCCTAAGAGTGGATAGAAACAATAGTAGATGTGACATTATTAATAGGTAGAAAAACCAAGGGAAACTGTAGCCTCTACATTATTTTGGATATCATGCTATTGACCAGCATCGAGGCAGGGGCTTGAATCAAATGACCATGTTATACCTAACATTTTAGACTCAATAAGTAGAAAAGAGACTAACTTGAAAGTATGAATGTTGACATATTCTTTTTCTCGTTTTGCCAGGATATGTTTGATGAGACCCTCCCGCTGGCCAGACTGGGTATTTGGTACAAAGAGCTTCCGCATGGTGTTGGTCACTTTGGGCTGTTCTTTGTTAGAAGCTTCTTTTTCACGTGGAAGCCTAGCAAATAAATGAGGAATTCAAAGTAAAATTACCTAAAATATAAGTCTCCTACTGGGGAAATGCCTCAATGTAAAACTTACATTCTATTCAATGAAGGAGGTGGAGGTGGGGGTTCCCGATGAATCCCCATAGGCTGATTTTGTGAATTTATTTTCTTGTCCAAGTTCATAGATGAAAAATTATCCTCAAATCCAAGAAGCCCTGAGGACCAGAACCCAAAGTCAAATGGGGGAAAAAGCTAACATATAGCCAGGGTAGACACAGCTTTGATTTGCAGCAGTACTACTGAACAGAAAAGGTCATAACTACTTAGGTTGGGGGAAGAAGGACATCAACACTGAAGCACTGACACACTAACTAGAACAACAGATGTTTACATTAATTTGGAACCTGCATAATAACAGCTAACATTTATTAAAGAGTTAGCACTGTTTGACAGTGATTATATCATTACCTCACTTAATCATCACAAAACCTCACAAGGTAGGCACTGTAAGAATTTCCCCATGTTATAGAAAAGGAAACAGAAGCTCAGAGTTGTTGAGTAATTTGACCAAGATCATATAACTAGTAAGTGTCAGACTTGAGATTCAAACCCAGGCTGTCTGGCTCTGGAGTTTGTACTTGTTACCACTTTGCTGGCTCCTGAAGAGCTACTAAACCACATAAAGGATTAGGAGTGAACATTAGTCAGTGGCCACAAACTCAATAAAACCACTCCACAGGAGTCTGTATCTGACATTGGCTTTAATCCATATCATCTCATCTGGCCTAATAAAATCTAAATGATCTGAAATGATCACAGCAACCAGGGAGAAAAGAATCCTTTCAGTACCTGAAAAAACAGAAGGTTTGTCCTTAGTGTCTAATTTCTGGTACCAGCTAGATGAGTCTTTTTGCTCTGGAGCAAGAAGCTGTGACTGAGCTGGAAAGATAAGGGTCATTGTCAGAAACTGGAGAGCCAGGCTCTGAATGAAATTTATCATAAGCAAAAGCAATTCACTCAACACTCCTCAAATGCAAGGGCCAGCACAATTTCTTAAAGTAATAGAAGAGACTAAGGAAATAAGGGCAGCTCTAGGGTCATCTGGGGGCAGAAGGAAGATTGCAATGTGTGGTAAACTGCATGACATAACACTGAAGGTTCTAGAAATTGGCTCAGTGCCCTTATAGCTAAATAGACAAGTTCCCTAACTTATTCCTAGGTTCATTCCTGAAGAAAAAAATTAACTATAAAGGCTCAAGGGTGAGGCACTTTGCTAAAGGCCACTTGCTTCTGAACCAACATGTCAGTATTTCACTCCCATTAAAATAATAGAAAGAAAATTACTGAGTCTTGTGTTACCTTCCTGAGCAGCAAGGACCTCTGAGAGAAACTTTAAACAATGTTCCTCATCAGGGATTTCAAAGCGACGCTCTCTGGTCCAGTCCCCCTGAACCCGAATTTTGCAGCCACCTAAAAAGAATTGAAATCCAAACACAGACAGTCATAGGATACAATACTGTGTTGAGATCATATTCTCAACTTACCAGGTTATCAGAAAGTCCATATCAAAAGATTCCAGACCTCTAACATAGGAAGCACATGTACAAGGGATTTGGTGTGGTGGTGGGGGATGAATCAAGAAGGGAAGCCTAAGGGAAGAAGACAGTACTCTCAGGGATGACAACTGTGTTAAAGATCAGCCAGATCTAGAGATAGACACACTAAAACCTGATCTCTCTCTCAGATGACAATGCAGAAACATCCAAATTCTAGGAAAAGATAAATTCCTCAATCACTCTCCTCTTATTCACAAGAGAAAATTCCTACCATTTCGATTCCAGATAATATAGTAAGAATATCTGAAGCATGAAGAGGATAAAGGAAATAAAATGGTTGTTTATAGGTTCAGGGTAAATTAAATTTATGAACTCATTAAAAATAGTGGAATTGGCCTGAAGTATGTGGAAAAGAAGCATCTACATCTCATTCTCAACTGAAAAATGTATGCTTTGCATGAACTTACAAAAGCAATATAATGATCTATGTCCAGGAGAGGTTTGGTCCAAATATAGCCAACTAGACACAAATTTACCTTGGGCTTTAATGTTTTATGGGTATAACATCTTATCTTCCTCTTTCTGATGCCCCATAGTTATTATTTAAGTTAACTATTTGGATATAATGAGTCAGGAAAACTATATACTTACTGGTTTACATTCTGGTTTTTTTTTTTTTTTTTTTTTTTTTTGGTACTGGGTATTGAACCCAGGGGCATTCAACCACTGAGTCACATCCCCAGCCCTTTTTTGTACTTTATTTAGAGAAAAGGGTCTCACTGAAGTGCTTAGGGCCTCAGTAAATTGCTGAGGCTGGCTTTGATCTCTCCATCTTCCTGCCTCAGCCTCCTGAGCCACTGGGATTACTGGAGTGAGCTACCACGCCCTGCTACATTCTTATTCTAACAAATTGACTAGGTATGCTGATTCCTGCTCCCCCTTCCCTCCCCAAACTATGAGCTCCTTAAGGACAAAGGGCAGGCTGCATATACAGGTTACCCAATACTTTCCATGGTCTACTGTGACCAACTGTCTCAGGATTGTCTGGGACTAAGCAACATCCTACAATTCAACATTTCAAGGTTAAAACTGAGAAAACCCCAGGCAAACTATTCTGCTGGTGATAGTGATGTCAGATTTCATAGACAAAAGGCATTTAATAAATAAGTATTGAACTGGACTCTTCCACACTTGTAAATTGCAAAGGAAATGAAATGAAAAGAAAATCCTAGTTTTTGTTTTTTTTGTGTGTGTGTGTGTGTGTGTGTGTGGTGGAAATTCACTTCTGAACCTTTGGTTCTCTTTTGTCCTCTAATTTTTTTTTGTTGTTGTTGTTTCTATTTTCATATAATGAGTTTTTAAAAGGAAAATTAAATTACTGATCAGAAGAAGGAAAAAAAAAGGTAAAAATTAAGAAAAATGTGAAAGAAGGCATCCAAATGGACCAGACAGAGACAAGAAAATTAATGAGGGTGCCTGTAAGGAGGAAAACAAAGGAAGGAGAATGAATAGAGTGTCAATTAGGAGCAGCCTTGAAGATACAGAGGAAAACTCCTTTAGGGCATACTAAGTCCTCCCTTTCTCAGATAATTTTTTTATTCAAAATAGTTTAAAAGGAGCAGCTTCTACCAGATAGAAATTTAGAACAATAATACACATTTTCTTTCTCCCACAAGTCTTGAAAGATGTATTTTAGAAAATATAAAACTGACCTACTTAATAGCCAGAAATTGCTTATAAAATATCACTGGATGTTCTCTCACCATGTTTCTTGGAAAAGAGCACAAATTATCCCATAACCTGGCCTTTACTCTCTTCCCTTTCCAAAGCTCTTCAGGCCCTCCGTGAACAGCAAACCCTATTATATCTTCAATTTCATTAAACATTCCCTGTACCTGTCAATCATGGATGCATTACAATAATCAGAGGCATTTTAGAAAATATTGACACCTGGACCTCACCCAACACAATTAAAACAATCTCTGGTCATAAATCCCAGGCACTGGCAGTTTTTAAAAACACTCCCCAGGTGATTCTACTGTGTATCCAGATTGAAAATCAGGGTCAACTGCAAACTGGCTTGTTTCTAAGAGGGGCACTTCCCCTGTGGTCCTCTTAGGGGAGGCTGCTTATATTCTTTCACACCTGATGGAACGAACACAAACACACACGTATCACCTTGTTGGGCTTACACTGGATGGAATTTAAAGTTGGTGTCCTTATTTGTTGTAATACCACCTCCAAACCATTTCATCTTCTCCTTCCTCAGGAAAAACCCTTTCTCCTTTGGTGCTTACCCATTGGATTGAATCATCTTCTTGCCTTTCCTCCTCTATAAGACCATCCACCACCTCTTAAAAACCTCGGAATCTAGAATTTAATACTCAATATGTAAGATCTTTTCCTTTCTCAAACTCCTGCCATTATTTTGGGTCTCTTTAAAATTACCACAGAAAACCCTGTGGACACTTTCAACTTCTTCATCCAATGGCCTTCCCTCTCTACCTCAGCCACCACTCCCTCAGTCCCTACTGGGACTCCATCAGTTATACCCTGGATTTTTTTAATCATAGAAACATCACCATTTCACAAATCTCTAATTCAAATATCCCATGCCAGCTGGACTTGGTGGTGCATGCCTATAATCCCAGAGATTTGGAAGGCTAAGACAGGAGGATTGCAAATTTGAGGCCAGCCTCAGCAACTTAGTGAGGACTTAAGCAACTCAGTGAGAGCTTGTCTCAAAATAATAACGACAACAACAATAATAATGAGCTGGGGATGCAGCTCAGTGGCAAAGCATCCCTGGGTTCATCTGGATTTATCCCCCAGTACCACCACCCCTCAAAAAGCCCCCACAATGACAAATATCCCAAGCCAACTTCTTAATCCTTCCGGTTTACTTGCTTATTATCCCCACTGTAATTGTTCGTTACCCTCATGGGAACCTCCAGCCCATTGATTCTTCCACTTTCTCACTGTCCAAAAACCCACAACTGCCTTACCCATGGTCACCCAAGGCACCACCTGACCAAATTCCAACCCTCAAAAACCCAACTAATTGCCTTCTCTATTCTTAAAACTGAGCAACCACAGATAGTAAACAAATATGTGTATACACTCACACGCTATCATTATAAATTCTTAATTGCCAACCTCAACGAGGCCCTCTATCCTAGGAGGCAATCTGTTTCCACAGTCACTAGTCTTCCACTACTACCTGGAATAATTATTTAACCTTCTCATTTATCTTCTCTTCTCATGCCCTCTCATTCTAAGCAGATTATTTCACCTCATATTTCAGAAAAAAGAAGCCATCACCTGGAAAACTACATATTGTACTCCTTTCCTTTCTGACAAGAAAGAAACTTCTTCCTACCAAGACCACCTTTGTTTGGAATTCCAGTATGGGGATAGAACCAGTACTAAGCAAACAGTGTACCAGTAAGTTACATCATCAGTCCTCTCATTTCTTTTTTTTTTTTTTTTTTTGGTACCGGTGATTAAATCCAGGGTCACTTAACCATAGAGTCACATTCCCAGCCCTTTCCTGTATTCAGTTAAGAGACAGGATCTCACAGAGTTGTTTAGGACCTCACCAAGTTGCTGAGGCTGGCTTTGAACTCGAGATCCTCCTGCCTCAGCCTCCTGAGCCACTGGGATTACAGGCATGCACCATGGTACCCAGCCATCGCATGATTTCAAATATTATCTATGTGCTAGTGGCCCAAATCTTTCTTCTGAGCTTCAGATGCATACATTTAGCTGCCAGTTTATCATCTACAGTCAACTGTCTCAACTAAACACAGCTAAATCTGAATTCATGACACTCTCTCAAAGGAAAACTCATTCTTTCTGTAACCTATTTATGCAAATGATGGGTACCATCATCCACATTCATGCCAGAAACCTGGAATTCATCTTTGACATTTCTCTTCCTGTCACTCCTATGCCCAAACCAATTTCTATTGATTTTACCTCCATATACATCTATCAGCTCTACTTCTCTCCATATCTATTGCCACTATACTTCCACTTTATACTACTGAAAAAGTCTCCCAACTAGCTTGTCTTTCTGTTTCTATGAAAATTATGATACCTCAGCATAAAATCCGTCACTTTCTTATCATTTCTTTCTTTCTTTTTTTTTTTGAGGGGTGTACTGAGGATTGATCCCATGGGCACTTAACCACTGAGCCACATCCCCATTCCTTTCTGTATTTTATTTAGAAACAGGGTCATGCTAAGTTGCTGAGGCTGGCTTTGAAGTCATGATCCTCTGCCTCAGCCTCTCAAGCTGCTGGGATTTTTTTAATTGAGAAGGTGTCTTAGAACCAGAGAAGTGGGGCTGGGGTTGTGGCTCAGCGGTAGCTTGCTCGCCTAGCACATGCGAGGCCCTGGGTTTGATCCTCAGCACCACATAAAAATAAAATAAAGATACTGTGTCCATCTACAACTAAAAAATAACATATTAAAAAAAAGAACCAGAGAAGTGAAATATAGTGCTCCATTTGGGTACAATGAATTAAAGAGCATTCTGCTGTCATGTATAACTGATTAGAACAAATTTTTTAAAAAGAAGATATAGAGAGAGCAGATTAGCGTGTCAGATACTCATCATCATTTATCATTAGGAAAATGAAAATTAAAACAACAATTAAATACTACTGCAAAATTAGAAGAGAGAATTAAATGTCAAAAAATCCAACTATTATTAATGCTGGTAAATATTCAGAGTAAAGGGGCTGGGGTTGTGGCTCAGCGGTAGAGCGCTCGCCTAGCACATGTGAGGCCCTGGGTTCGATCCTCAGCACCACATAAAAATAAAATAAAGATATTGTGTCCAACTACAATTAAAAATTAAATATTAAAAAAATTTAAAAAATTCAGAGTAAATAGAATTCTTGGAAATCAATGTGGGATTCAATATGGTGCAACTTCTTTGGAAAAACAGTTCAAGAGTTTCTTATAAAGTTGTCTCCATGCAAGTATTTACCTAACTAAATGAAAACAAGTGTTCACACACACAAAAGAAAAATTTTGAGAAGGAGTCTTGCTAAGTTACTGAGGTTGGTCTCAAACCTGTAATCCTCCTGTCTTGACCTCCCGAGTTGCTGTCTTCTCATTTCTTAAAACCTAAAAATGCTGATTCAACAGTATGGCTTATAAGATTCAGCTGCATCTGGCTCTAGCCTGTTTTGCCTTGGTGCTGAAGCCCAGGCACCCTGGTCATCTTTTACTTCCAATAAACTGTGAATCTACTTCCCACCTTGGTTTACCTGGAATACTTTTTTCTCTCCTGTATGCATCTGTCTGTTATTGGCCCCCCTGCTCTCACTTTAAATGTCTTCTTCAAAGAGTCCTTCCCTAGCTACCCTTCCTAATCTAGTTATCCCGCTTACATACTCTTTATACCTTTTTTTAACAGTATTTATCAAAACTGCAATCATGTTAATGTCTGTACCTTATCAGTTTAAAGTCTGTTTCCTGTATTAAAATCCACAATTTATCAAGATTTTCTTGTTTTCTGCTAAATCACTAGAGCTAGCACAGTGCCTGGCCATAAAATGTATTCATACTTTTATGGAAGGGATTAATGAATTATAGGCATCTATGTGGCTGTCATACCAAATATCACACAAGAAGAACCAAAGCAGGAGAACTAACCTTATCTATATTGTGCTCTGATGATTCTGAAGCTCTTACAACCATGCCTGGCAAATAGAAGGTACTCAACAATATTTGTTAAATAATAAATTAGGAAGGGTAATACTAATAATTAGTAGAGTAGCCAGGCATATTGTTGCACACTTGTAATCCCAGCTACTCAGGAGGTTGAGACAGGAGGATCACAAGTTTAAGGCCAGCCAGAGCAATTTAATGAGACAATCTCTCAAAATAAAATAAAAAGAACTATGGGTATAGCACAGTGGTAGAGTCCCCTAGGTTCAATCCCCAGGATGGCAAACAAACACACAAACAAAAAACATTGTTAGTACAATACAGTCCATTAATAGGTAAGAAAAACAAGGAAAATATAACCATCTCCATAAAATAATGAAAACAAATTTAATAAAATTCAGTATATATACATGATTTTTAAAGAACACACAATATGACCAAGAAGGAGACATGTCTTTGAGTCTAACTTTTGTGGGAACTTTGCTCCAAATTGCAAAGCTGGCCCCTCCAATAAAAATATGGGAAATTTATTTTTCCTCTGGATAAAGTCAGTCAAATAATGCAGATAGTCACTCAAACTACCAGGTAAAATTAGCACGAACTGTGTGACATATGTGATACCATCAAGTTCTCTTTCTTGAAAATTAGTTATTGTTTACCTTGCAAATATGTGCATCATGGGTTGTATCTGTTTGGATACATAAATGAGTGAGATTTATTTCTGTCTTTGTAGTTTCTTAGCTAATCCTCTGTGATGTGCATCACATTCTGTTTTAATGCTTATTCAATAATAAAAGTTATTTTCTCTAACAAAAAAATAAAGAACACACAAACTTGAAATAAATGGAATTTCTTAATATAGGCTTTGTTTAAAAAAAAAAAACCTGCCAAATCAACAGGCAAAAATGTCCTTAACTGTGAAGCACCACCGAAGCAATTCTCATGGAATTTGGGGTGTATTTATAAGGATTTAATACTGGTCCCCTAAAATGCCACTGGTGTATTGAGACATGAACCAAAACTCAGTTATAGCTAATAGAAAGGAGACTTAATTATAATTTACAGATGATTAAGGCTATTTACCAAAATGGAAAAAAACAAACAAACAACCAAGTGTAGTAAAAATACAGTTGTTTTGGTTTAGATACGAGTTGTCCCCCAAAAGCTCACATGTGGGACAATGCAAGAAAGCTTAGAGGTAAAATGATGCCTTATGGACTTAACCTAATCAGTGCATTAATCCCTTGATAGGGATCAACTGGGTGGCAACTGTAGGCAGGTAGGTTGCAGATGGAGGTGGGTCACTGGGGTGTGCCTTTTGTATGTGATGAGAGGATGCCCCCCCCCCCTCTGCTTCCTGGTAATGTCCTGAACTTCTTTGTTTTGCCATGCCTTCTGCCATGATGTTCTGCCTCAACTCTGGCCTAGAGCAATGGAGTTGTCCATCTATAGACTGAGATCTCTGAAACAGTGAGCACAAATAAACTTTTCCTCCTCTATAATTGTTCTTGTCAGATCTTTTGGTTACAGAAGTGAAAAAGCTGACTAAATCAACAGTGAAATGGACAGATAAAAGCTAAGTATCTACAACTCATTACTTGTTCTGTATACTAATAACACACAACTGGAAGAGAACAGAAAAAAACTGATTCATAAAAGCAGCAAACAAAATCTACCATAAAAATTTAACCTAAAAATGTGATATTGAAGAAACTACAAAATTCTACTGAAAAATATAAAACAGGACCAAATAGAGAGATGTAAAATGTTTCCTGACAGTGACTTTATTTTATAAATATGTTAATTTAATAACATCTTTATAAATACATATATTTGACATATATATGGTGAAATTCTGGTCATTAAAATGATGTCTTAAAATAAGCTTAAATGACATAGGAAGTGTCACAATATACTATTCAATTAAAATGTAGGATAAAAATTATATGTAAAATGCTGGGGGTATAGCTTAGTAGTAGAGCACATGCTTAGTATGCAAAAAGCCCTGGGTTTAGTTCCCACTGTGAAAAAACCCTCACAAAACAACAACAAAAACTATATATAAGGATTCTAATTATGCAAAAATATAAATAAAATATATAAAAAACGTTAACTACGATGATTATCTCTAGATTGCAGGCAATAACTTTAATTTGATACTTTAAACTTTTCTGATTTTATAAATTATACATAATGAAGATACATTAACTCTATAATCAGAAAAAAACATGTGTGCAAGTATGAATATATAACAAATCCTACCATTACATGTAATTATAATGCACCAATAAAAATATGGAAAAAGGTGTTTATTTCCAATAACCAGACAATGGGGAAATTCATATTTACACTAAAATCAAACCTATCTGATAAACTCAGGGTCCTCCTTCTGTAATACACTGAATGCTCTAAGCGTTTATGTATGAAGCCCATTACTAAATAGGAAGAGATACCAAAAGACTTTATAATTAGTCACTTAATTATATTACTGCTATGATCCAGTAACTTGAACTCTACACAGAAATGAATGACCAATTTCTATGTAGAAGAAGTTACAACAAAACCAATGCCATAAATTCAGTGTTTATAAGAGAAAAGGTACAGCTCATTTTAATGTCTCAGTTTGGGATCAAATACCTTTCTACATCAAGAACAGGATGTTTTAATATCTTATTTCAACAGCAATATCAGTCCCTGTATAAATGCCTTTCCTCTGATTTTCCATTTTTTAGTCTTAGTTTTGTCTTCTCCTGCCTAAGTACAATAAAACATAGATATTGAGTTTTCTTTTTAAATCCTGTGACAAAAGCCAGCAGCTGGGTTTACTTAGAATTTCAGGATCAGTCTTTAAGATTTCCAAAATCCATGATTAAAGGAAAGAATAATAAAACCCAAACTATAAAAAGCCTACCTAAATCATTCAGTACAAATTAATAGTGCCCAGGGGAATAACTGCATCTAAACAAAATTATGTATAACCTGTAGCCCCAAGCTAAGTGCCAAGTCCCACTCATCCAAGGACTCAACCAAGAGATAAGACAACCATTTGATTTAGATTCATGTGGTCAGATACTCTTTTTCCATAGCAACCACACAGCAGTCACAGTAGCAGTCAAGTGCTCATTTTCTCCTCTCCATAACACAGTACAATTAGATGATAAACAAAGAACAGCTTGCACTGAAAGTGGATGATGATTTGCTTCAAACAGATAAAAAGGAGAGAACAGAAACAGTGGAAAGGAAGACCATGTTCCCTCTGATAAAGGGATGCCTTGAGGGGCTGAGGCTTAAATAAAAGACCAAAATTATTTTAAGAAATAAAAAGAATGCCTAGAGAAGCAATTGAAGGGATTCTGTAGCCTCCCAAAATAATATAACAGATAAATGAAAACACTATCATTTAACGTAAAAAATAACGAAAGCAGGAGAAAACCTTAAAACATAAAGCAGTTTAAGTAACCAAAAAAACATCCATAAACCTTAAGTGCTTTAAAAAAAACATTTTACTAGCCCTTCCCACAATTATCAGTTTCCACAGCAATGATTAAACTAACAGCAATAATACTGGTAGCTCAAAGAAGTTCAGCATTAGAAAAGCAAACCATACTTTCAATTTTTGTAAAGATTCTTATCAGTCACATGCTTTTCTTCAGACTCAGCCTAAATGTTTGTGGAAGACAATTGCTAATTTTTATGGTTTTCTTAAGAAAATGTAAACTACAGGATAAGATGGTAAAATAGAAAATGTACCCAAAAAAGGTATCTTAAATACAGTGAGCATTCAAATAAATATTTATTGAATGAAAATCAACTTCATTCGGAAAGATACTCACTGTTTGAAGCAATGTCAATCAAAAGAGTTTCTTCTGCTTCTGAGAGGGGGGAAAAAAGAACAGGATAAGGGAAGATAAAATCATTCATCACAATCAAAGGAAGTATACGCCTAACTAAATAACTGCTTCTCTCAGTCACTACTCCTCAGTTTTAGAACACATTAAAAATTCCTTTTTTGTTTAGCATTTTTTTTTCAAAAAGAATATTAGTAGCACTAGGTTCTAAAGACTTGAGCAATTTAACTAAGAGAAAAATGAAATGAATAAGTACTAAATGAAGCTCCTCAAAGCAAATTAAGAGTGACAAATTAATAATAGGGAATATAACACAATGTTAATTCAAATGAAGACAAGTTTAATTTCCCTCAACTGTAACATACTGATTTAATATAATGTGTGTCCTTTAGATACTTATTATAAAAAGCCAAGGAGTGACCCTGCAGGCCTCAAGTTGAATTATTTTCTCAACTCAGATATAGTCTTTGAAAATTTCCCAGTGATTTCATTACTTCTGCTCCCACCCTATATAAAAGTAGAGTAGCAGAGAATATCTAAAGTTCACACTTGTGGCTCCAATGCCTACCACACCTAACAAGAAGTATAAAACACTTGCATTCCTATGTTTATTGAGTACTATTCACAATAGCCAAGATATGGAATCAACTGAGGTATCCATGTTGTGATGAATGGATAAAGGAAATGTAGTATATATACACAATGTAATATTTTTCAGCCATAAAATATATGAAATCCTCTCATTCGTGGCAACATGAATGGAATCAGAAGACATTTTGTTAAATAAGACAGGCACAGAAGTACAAATACTGAATGTTCTCATTTATATGTGGAAGTTGATCTCCTATAAATGTGGAGTAGAATAGTGGTCATGAGAGGCTAGAAAGGATAGGGAGAGGAGGGATAGAGAGGCTGGATAACAGGTCCTAAAGTGCAGTAAGAAAGGAAGAATAAGTTCTAGTGCTCTATGACTACATATTGTAACAATTTATTATATGTAACTAGAGGAGAGGAGTTGGAAGGTTTCTAACACAAGGAACTACTAATTACTGATTTGATTATTACTCATTATATGTGTGTCAAATTGTCACAGAGTACCCCATAAATATATACAATTATTATGTGTCAATGAAGAAAAAAACTAGCACAAAGCAGTTTGAAATTTCAGAGTTCTCTTTTCTCTCAAAGGCTTTCCTTGCCTCTAGTGTCTACATACAACTTATTACTTCCTCTTTGACTTCTCTGGATTTGACCAACAGTCCCTACCAGAATCTCCTAGCTAATTGAACCTTGGGTACTAGCTCCTTGGGATTAGCCTGGTTCTCTGCTGATAAGATGGAGTAGCCTCAGATTTTTCTAGCTTCTTCACAAGACTCAATTTATATTTAACTTCATTATTCAGGTACAATAGAAATAACTGTGAAGGAGCCAAGTTGTTTAGTATTAAAATGAAGTTTCAACACTATTACTACAATGATGAAGCAAATTGGACATCAGGACATAGGTATTACATGTTCATGGCTATTCTTTGGTACCTTTTAGTTCTGTAAAACCTGAGCATTTTCAGCTTTCCAAATAGATAGGAAGTAAAAACTTAAGAACAAAACATTTTTTTCCATGGGGAACTATGGTGTATGCTTGCTCATATTTTCCAGATCCCAAGAAGCATCACTACAATCTGGCCGTCTGCTTCTTATTAAAAATAATACTAAGAGAAACAGGCTAAACGAGTTCCTAGAAGCAGTAAAAAAGGTAAAAAACAAATAGGATACATTGTGAAGTCAAGTTCTTTTACTTTTCTGTGCAGAGATACAACTTGAAAAGTGAGGCAACCACAGCAACTTACTATGGTATGCAGGTACCTTGCTTAATATGTCTCACTCACACAGGGCAGGCTAAATAGCTATGACTTCACTCTTCTAGACAATGAAGAAACTATTTATTAAAGGTATTTTAAATTCTTAATACTGTCTTTTCTTTTCAAAATACCATCTTAAAAGTCACACCTGCTATTATCACTATTTGCTGACAACATGATTCTATATTTAGAAGACTCAAAAAATTCCACTAGAAAACTTGTAGAATAAGTGAATTCAGAGGCTGGGGTTATGGCTCAGTGGTACAGCACTTGCCTAGGATGTGCAAGGTGCTGGGTTCGATCCTCAGCACCACATAAAAATGAATAAATAAAATTAAAATATCGTGTCCAACTACAAATAAAAATATTTAAAAAATGAATTCAGCAAAGTAGCAGGATATAAAATTAACAAGCCATAAATCAAATGTGTTCCTACACATCAGTGATGAATCCACTGAAAGAGAAACTAGGAAAATGACCCCATTCACAATAGCCTCAAAAAAAAAACTATTTGGGAATCAATCTAAGAAAAGAGGTGAAAGATCTCTACAATGAAAACTACAGAACCCTAAAGAAAAAAATTGAAGAAGACCTTAGAAGATGAAAAGATTTCTCACGCTCTCAGATAGGCAGAATTAACATTATTAAAATGGCCATATTACCAAAAGTGTTATACAGATTTAATACAATTCCTATTAAAAAAACCCCAATGACATTCTTCATAGAAACAGTGAAAGTAATCATGAAATTCATTTGGAAAAATAAGAGACCCAGAATAACCACAGCAATCCTTAGCAAAAAAAGTAAAGCACGAGGCATCACAATACCAGACCTTAAATTACACTACAGAGTTATAGTAACAAAACAGCATTGTACTGACATCAAAACATACATGTAGACTAATGGTACAGAATAGAAGCACAGAGACAAACTCACATGAATAACAGTTATCTCATACTAGACAATGGCACTGCTGGGAAAACTGGAAATCCATACGTAACAAAATGAAATTAAACCCCTATCTTTCACACTACACAAATCTCAACTCAAAGTGGATCAAAGACTTAGGCACTAGAACAGAGACCCTGCACCTAACAGAAGAAAAAGTAGGTCCAAATCTCCAAGATGTCAGCTTAGGAACTGACTCCCTTAACAAGACTCCTAAAGTGCAAGAAGTAAAATCAAGACTCAATAAACGGGATGGAATTAAACTAAAAATCTTCTTCACAGCAAAGAAAATAATCAATAACGTGAAGAGAAAGCTTACAGAATGGGAGAAAATCTTTAGCAAATGCACCTCAGATAGATGTTAATCTCCAGGATACATAAAGAACTCAAAAATCTTAACACCACAAAACAAATAAATGTGCTAAGGAACTGAACGCACTTCACAGAAGATGATATACAATCGAGATCAAGAAATATATGAAAAAATGTTTAACATTTCTTGCAATTAGAGGAATGGCAATCAAAACTACACTGAGATTTCATCTCTCTCCAGTCAGAATGGCAGCTATTAAGAATACAAACATCAATAAGTGTTGGCAAAGATGTGGGAAAAAGGGCATGCTCTTACATTGCTGGTAGGACTGCAAATTGGTGCAACCAATCTGGAAAGCAGTATGGAGATTCCTTGGAAAATTGGGAATGGAACCACCATTTGACCCAGTTATCCCACTCCTCGGTTTATACCCAAAGGACTTTAAAAAACAGCATACTATAGGGACACAGCCACATCAATGTTTATAGCAGCACAATTCGCAATAGCTAAATTGTGGAATCAACCTAGATACCCTTCAGTAGATGAATGGATAAAGAAAATGTGGTATGTATACACAATGGAATATTAATCAGCCTTAAAAAAGAATGAAACCATGGCATTTGCTGGTGAATGGATGGAGCTGGAGGATATCATGCTACGGGAAATAAGCCAATCCAAAGAGTCAAAGGTAGAATGTTTTCTAATATGCAGATGCTAATTCACAATAAGGGGAGGGCTAGGAAAGAATAGAGATACTTGAGAGTACACAGAGGGGAGTGAAGGGAAGGGGTATGTGGGTAGGAAGGATAGTAGAATGAATAGGACATTATTACCCTATGTGCATATATGATTACACAACCAGTGTAATTCTACATCATGTACAACCAGAAGAATGAGAAATTATACTCCACTTATATATGATGTGTAAACATGCATTCTGTCATTATCTAATTAGACCAAATTAAAAAAATAATAATTTTAAAAGTCACACCTGCTATTTTCTGTTAGAAGAATAAATCTTTTTTTAAAAAAAAGAGAGAGTGAGAGAGAGAGAGGGAGAGAGAGAGAATTTTTTTTTAATATTTATTTTTTAGATTTCGGCGGATACAACATCTTTGTTTGTATGTGGTGGTGAGGATTGAACCCGGGCCGCACGCATGCTAGGCGAGCACGCTACCGCTTGAGCCACATCCCCAGCCCAGAAGAATAAATCTTGAGAAAATAAGGTGTGCATGAAAATTTTATAAAAAGATTTTCATCACATTACCATATATATTAGTGAAAAATAATCCAAATGTCAATCACAGGAGATTAATTACATTTTTAAAACAATAGTATATAGCCATCAATAGCATAGAAAGCACTCATAATAATAATTGCATATGGACAGACAAAAATATTTAAAATATAAGTCCCACTTACCCTGAAGGGTATATGTGTAAAAAAAAAAAAAAGGAAAATACTAGGCATTTATCTCAAGGATGGAAATTTATGTGACTCATTTTCTTTATGTTGTTCTTCCTTTCCAAACTTCAGAGAGTGTGTGTTTGTGTACCGTATATATTATATTTAGACAGTATATGTGTATATATCTATGTATATACCCATATATTACTGTTTTGATTTTTAAAAAGTCAATGTAAAGAATCTATGCAAGGTAGGATTAAAGCTTTCCAAGAAGCTACCATTGATACAGAATACTTCTGCCTGATAAAACCACTGGACATGATAGAAACATAATGCATTTCTTCTCAAGTAATCAATTCCCTTTCTAAAGCAACGTGAGATGGCAGAAGCAACACATCCTACACAAATCTCCCAATTTTGGAGTTTCATTGTAACAGATGAAACAACAGATTTTCTGTGCTCAGTCCCCATATTTGAGGGCATAAAGCTAAATACTTCCTCTCCAGAGTTGATTTTCTTCTGATTTACCAACGTTAAGTTTTGGGAATCAACATAGGAGTGTAAGGTATTAAAGTTTGGAAGGCATATTGCCAAATGTCTTAATTTTAAATTGGGAACAAAGTACTGAATGTTTGTGACTCCAAATGACCTTGATACTTTATAATGAGCTGAGTGTCCATTAAGCCAAGTATTTCATTTTAAATCTACATATAGGTCAGTAAACATAAAAGACTACCTACACAGGTAATAGACGACATACATTTCTAATCCCAGCTAGGGAAACAGGTGTAGGTATCTATATATGTTTCAATATTAACCCTTCAGCACTCTTAAACAAATCACTTATCTTCTCAGTGGTAAATTAGTAAGGTAAACTTGTTATGCAAAGAGTAATATATTTCATTTTACTTGCAGTGACAAATTTAAATTTGTATGGCATATACAATGTAATAACAATGAAGGAAAAACATAAAACTAGTTAAGCAATTAAAACTAGTACCTTGAACACATCTGAAGTGGCTATTTATAGGAATGATATCTTGGACATGCTGTTCCTTCTCATGCAACTGGATTATTAACCTAGGAAACAGAAAAATGCATCAATGAATAGCTACTGAAAAATCCAAATGTTTAACAACAAAATATTGTTTGGACTTGGTATACAAATCTAATCTGCATTTATTAGATTTTCCGCATCTAGTTCCCTGGATCTGAACAACATAACAGCTAGATACTTCTCTGGGGTTAAAGGATGTTATGGTGATCAATATCTGAACACCCATAGAGTCCTATATGCCATAAAGAACATATAATATTCTATGTCCTAAAAATGGTGCACAGTCTTAAGAGCATGAAGTGCAAAGTATACACCTTCAGAGTGTGCATACCAGTGAAGAATGGATAGCTAGATGTAAACTACACAATGGTGAGGGCTACAGCTGTCTTTTCATCACAGTATTTCTAGCATCTAACACAGAGTCTGGCACATTAAAGACACTTACATGTGTTAAATTAATAAGTTTCAAAAGTGATACATTAGCTTTCAAATTTTATCCTTATGTTTTTTTTTTTATACCAAAGAATGGTTCTCTCTTCAAACAAACATGCAGGTTCACAGAGGAATATGAAGGGGTACCCAATCAGCTGGATCAGTCAAAATAACTCCAGTGACCAACATACCAGATGTCAAAACCAGATTGCCTTCACATCCCCTGTGTTTCTACTCTGGTTTCCAGTTTCATGCTGGTATTTCTATGTAAACATGATTGAACTTGGCTCCCCAGGTGAAATGAACGACTTCTAAGTCCACCTATACTCCTAAAATACTAATTTTCACTTATTACTTATCATTAGTGGCCAAGAATAAAGGTATAAACTACTGAGTAAACAGCCATTCTGAATATTAACTAGCTTCTCCAAAGTCAAGCACTCTTCAGGCAGTTCTTTTTACCTGGAACACTCTTTTTTTTTCCCCTGAGACCCAGTTCAAATATCACCTCCTCTGTGAAGCTTTCTTTGACAACCACAAGTAGAACAAGTGGCCTTATCCACTTTTCTTGCCTTTTTTTGTACTAGGGATGAACCCAGGGGCACTTAACCACTGAGCTACATCCTCAGCCCTTTTTATGTTTTATTTTGAGACATGGTCTTAATAAGTTGCTTAGCCTTGCTAAAGTTGCTGAGGCTGGTCTTGAACTTGTGATCCTCCTGCCTTAGCCTCCCTATCGGCTGGGATTATCTGTATGTGCCACCATGCCCAACTTACTTGCCCTTCTAATTGAGCACTTACTCAAAGATTTGAGCTCCTTGAAAGCAAGGGTCCTATCATATTCTATTTTGTTTGCAGCCTAACAGATGCTCAATAAATACTGGCTGAGTAAGTGAACTAGCTTAATTAAGATATTAACAGAGGCGAATTTCTAAATATAACTCTTCAACTTCCAACATTAAAAATGTCATTGTTTTGAAAGCCTTATTTTCTATTTGTTTGACTTTATGAGGGATTTATTCTTGTTTGGGGATTTTTTTTCAGATGTGTCAACTCTGAAGGGGATAACACAGGGAAATCGCTTAAATAGAACTAAGGGAAATACAAGTATTAATGATGATTTTCTGCTTTGATACTGTCTACCTAATTTACAAGAGTTTATATTTTAAAGTGATTACAGGAATTTGGGGCTGGCTTCTTTCAACTTAGAAAGTCTGTGGTTTGAACAGAGTCCTATAAACCCTGAGAGAGACCCAAAACTAGATAAAAGGCTGAGAAGAAACATGGGTCAAGGAAGAAGAGCTTATTTTGAGGAAAATAAATACAAACCACTAGAATCTCAAAATATGAAGATTAGAAAAGGTGGTGATCATCAGTAGTAAAGGTTAACTCTCCGCAGTTAAGCTTTATTATTATTTAAAAACACCACAAACAAAGATAAGCTGAGAATTTAAGTGAATTCCACAAACATTTATTGAATATACACTGTATGTTAACCACTAAATAAATTGTAGCAAAAGAATAAGGCAAGGGAGAAACATACAAATCTATTGAAACATAATTATTCATTTACAAACAGAGTGATTCAAAATAATAGACATAGGTGGGTGAGGGTTACATGCCTATAATCCCAGTGACAGGAAGCTGAGGCAGGAGGATCAAGAGTTCAAGGCCAGCTTAGGAAACTTAGTGAGATCCTATCTCAAAATTAAAAATAAAAAGTTCTGGTCATTTAGCTCAGTGGTAGAGCATCCCTGGATTCAATTCCCAGTACCACAAAAAATACATACATAGGCATATGGCAAAACAATAGAAATAGAAACTTAGGAGTTCTCAAACAGAAAAAAGTGGCAAATTATGAATGCCAACCCAGCATTATCCCTAAGATTTGTTCAATAAAGGTTAAAGGTCAAATAACAGGTTCTCTCATAAACTATTAGCCTTGAAAAAATGAATCTTAGTGTGTGATTAGTTAAAAATATTATTCGTAATTGGTATCTAAGTAAATTTCTTCTATCATTGATAGTAGGAACCACAGATCTAAAAATTAAGACAGGTTTCAAGTCCCAGAATAAAATGGAAAAAAAGCAAAAAGTTTTGGACACCCAAGCCAGAGAAGGCACTTAAGATAAAATAATTTGAGGATTATAGATGGTAGTATGGCATTAGGTGTCACCAGTAAATTATTTCTCAATGTAATTCTGAAATATGTTGCACAGGTTCAGATATCAGCTATGATACTTCCTGTGAACAAGTGATAACCTCTTTGTGCCTCAATTCCTGTATCTGTAAAAAAGGGGGGGTGATGATGATAAAATTATGAGTTAAATTAACTAATTAATACAAAGTGCCTTAAACAGTATCTTGCCCATATGAAGAAAGCAACTGTCAATAGTTGCTACATTCTCATAAGTTAACAAAATTAGAACTCAAGAATTCAATTACTCTGTGGGAAGGACCCAAATAGTCAGGAGAACTACCCCTCCAAGTTGAGATATTCTTTTAGTACAAGAGCCCAGATAGGATGAGGCACTTATGTCCAGGCCAGCTGCTCACTCTTTATTGGCTGAATGGAGTTCCAAACCTACTAAACCAAGAGACTACATATTTGGTTATGATCATTTCAACAATGTAGCTATTCTATTCATCACTTGCAATTTTGTTTTTACAGAAGACACAAAAAAATTTACTGGTTTGCCCAAAGGTCACATCTTTCCACTCCATTCTAAACTCTAGAGGTGGAAGTGGTATTTCACTCTTCAATTCACTTTCCTGTTGAATTTAGTTTTATTACACTGGTCTTCAAAGATTTGATGAAATCTGGGAAAAACAGCATGAATTTCTCACATCAACAGAACTGACCAAGCAAAACCTAGGAAATAGCTACTTCATAGAACCAGTTGAAGTCCAATTATAGTGGCACCAATAGTTTTAGCTAAGTGCAGGCTAGGCTAGGCTAGTGGGAATTTCTTCTACATAAATTTGCATAAATAGAGGATTAAAAAGTAGGGATTGAGAAAATAGTTTTTATGAAGAATTCAATATTAGGAGACATGAAGATTTAACTGATTATCCATTTTTAAACCGTGAAAATATGTGATTTTAAGAAACCAGTGAACAACCAAGGGAAGTGGACTGGGATAGGGCCCTATGACAATGTAATGGTCATCATGGATAGTTTAAAGATGAAGAGTTAGTGGCAAGGAAGTAAGATGAATAACTATGGTGATAGTTCATCAAAATGATCATTTGCTCAATAAGTCAACAGTATATACTGAGCTCCTATGTTCAGGACAAATGGGAAGTAGCACTCACTGACAGAATGCCAAATATAATTTATATTTCTACATATTTCATTACCTTTTCTTCCCAACAGTCAAGTAAGGCAGTTACTGGGCTACACTAACCCACTACTGAATTAATGAATATGCCTTCAAACAAGTGGAATAAAAGGGTGGGGGGACTGGAGGAACCAGTTGAATGGGATTAAGACAAGTCTGTAACATTTACAATGCAGCATTTCCATAGACCTTTACTTTTGTAAACGTTTGCATTTATTATTCCCCAGATATACCTCCAAAGGCTATAAAGCAAGGCAGTTGATTTTTTTTTTATTCAACTGATGAGAAAACTGGGGCGCAGAAAAAAAGCCTATCGACTTGCCCAAGGTTACACAACATACATCAGTTGCAGGGGCAGGAACTAAGAACCCAGGCTTCCTGCTACCCCGCCCACTGAGTCTTTCCACTGAACCATTCTGCCAGGAGCAATCTACTGGCTTGCAACTTGGGGACAAAGCCCCGTGGTTAGAGAGCACTCACACTTCACACCTGGGTCATGAACCTGTTGCCCGTGTGGCCTCAGTGGGAGGACGGTGGGTGGCCCGTCGCGGGTAAAGCTTGGGAGGTAATGGAAGGCTCCATTCTGTGGGAATCAGGTGGTTACTTACTCATATTGCCCGTTCCTCTGGGCTAGGGTCAGGGCGCAGGGCTCCCGGAGAGGACCCTTCATCTCCAAACCCTCGATAGTATGCAGGCGCTAGTCAAGGGTCTTCTTTTCAGAAGGGCAGCTGTGCAGGGGAAACGTGATGTGGGGCGGTGGGAGTCTCCCGCCCCCCTGGCCGTCCTTCCCCATCCCCCGCAAACATCGCGTCCAGTGCTGGCCCTCTCCCCTGCTAGGTTCAGCCTCAGGGCCTCGCAGCGCCCCCGCCCTGCGGTGTTCCGCAGTCCCCCAGACCCCCACCCCCGGCCCATTGCGGCCTCCCCTCCCCCTTTCTCTTAGGCGGATACAGCAAGGGGCTGGGCTCCGACTGGGAGCGGCGGCTCCATCCCGGAGGCCTGCAGGCTTAGTGGGGCTGCGGACTGCGGGTGGCTCCAACGACACTGCCTCCAGCGTCCTGACACCAACCCGTCTCTGCTGCGCGTTGTTTGAGAAACAGCTCCGCGTCGGAGCTGGGAACCGGGAGGCGAGAGCTTGACCAGAGAGAGAGCGGCGCCTTTCGCCCCAGCCAGTTTTCCAGGCCGCCGCAGATTCCGCCCCCTGCGGCCAACATGGGGAACTACAGCCAGTGACCCAAGGGATTGGGGGCTTCTTGACCACATCCAGCAAGGAATATATTTCAAATGCACCAGAGGACTTTGAAAATTCTATAGAAAGAGAACACGGCCATACCTATGAGGGAACTCAAACATGTTAGACCAATAGAATCCGCATCATACAGCCAAAAACAAAAGAAAAAACACCCTTATTAAAGTTATGATGTACCGTGTTGGTTTTCTCACTTATCAGGTGTTCTACCCTTCCTCTTCTTTTTTCCAACTCCTAAATTGAAATATTTCTCAAACCTCAGACCTTTGCTCCTTCTTTGCATTCCCTCTGGGTCACCTCTAAGCAAGCAAAGTTCCAGTGTATATCCCTGACCTAGACCTCTTACCTAATATATCACTTTGTCAAAAGAACACTGTGTGACAAAACAAGTTCATCATTGCAGACAGCTACCCAGCCCTGAAACCTCAAAACCACATGCTTTCTTCCCTCTCGTAATCTCTGTATCCAAACCGTTAAGAAGCCTTGTTAATATTTTCTTTGGAATGTCTTTTTGATCCTTTTTCTCTCCTTTCACACTGCCATCACTTAATTGTAAGCCCTTGATGTCCTATCTGGGTTGCTGCATTTTCCTGAATAAATTCTATTGGCTTTAATCTCCCCTTTGACTTTCTTACTTTGTTGACAGCCACAAAAATATTCTTCCCAAATGCTTCAATTGTTTTATATACTTGCTCCAGAATGTATACTTAATTAGATATCAAAACTGACTTTAAACTTATATAATTAAAAACGTAGTATGGAAATAGACCAATAGAACAGAATCCAGAGCCTCAAGACAGATCTGCACATATATGGAAAATTGATATTCAAAATATGTGGCATTTCAGATCAGTGGGGAGAGGATGGATTATTCACTAAATGGTACTGAGACTATTGATTTTTGGGGGGGAAGGAGTACTGGAGATTGAACTCAGGGGCCCTCAACCACCGAGTCATATCCCAGCCCTATTCTGTATTTTATTTAAAGACAGGGTCTCACTGACTTGCTTAGTGCTTTGCTTTTTGCTGAAGCTAGCTTTGAACTCATGATCCGATCCTCCTGTCTCAGCCTCTCGAGTCACCGGGATTTCAGGAATACACCACTGCACCCAGCAAGAGACTACAGATTTTTCATATGGAAAGTTATGAAATTAGATCCCTACCTCAAATCATAGAGGGAAGATTAATTCCAGGTAGTTTAAAAGATCTAAATGTTAAAAGCAAAACTTTACCAGTTTCAGAAGAAAATGGTAGGGGGCTTGGTGACAGCATACACAAGGCCCTGTAATCCCACTGCCCAACAAAGAAAAAGAAAGTAGAATATTTTTATGATCTTGAAATAGAGAGTGAGAATGATACCTTCAGTTATATTAAATTTCAAAATGGATGTGTTTCATGACAATATAAACAAGAGACAAGCCACAGAGTGGGAGAAGATATTTTTCAACAAAGGGTAATCTATGGGGTCCTATATATCTGTCATCACCTTCTGACTTGCTCTCCCTCCACTCCTTCAAACTTGCTGTGCTTAATCATACTGGCTCCTTGCTTTTCCTAGGACTTGTCAGGCACACTCTTGCCTCAGGGCCTTTGAACTTTCTGTTTACTCTGGCTGCACTCTCATCTCCTTCAGCTCTTTGCTGACATGTCACTTTTGTCAGTGAGGTCTTCCTAGACCACTTTACTTAAAATAACAAATCAACAATCCCCTCTTTCTAGTTCCATAAACACATTCCCTATCCTTCTTCCCTGTTTATTTTTATTCAAAAGATTTATCACTATCCACTATTCTAATTTTTTTTATCAGTCTTGTTGGTCATTTAACTTCCTCCACTAGGACATTAGTTCCATGAGGGTAAATAGTTTTGTCTGTTTTGTTATCAGTGCCTAGAACCATTCCTACAGTAAAGTAGATGCTAGAAAAATATTGATAAAAAGAATGAATTAGTATTCAGGTTATATAAGAACTCTGATAAATAAGTTAGAAAAGGAAAGAAACCTAGTAGGAACATTGACTAAATGTATGAATAAGCAATTCATAGTCAATGAAACCCAAATGGTTAATAAAGACATGATAGGATAATTAACTATATTACTATTCAGGGAAATTTAAAAATGAAATCATGAGATCATTCCACAACCATTGATTTGGCAAAAACTTTTAAAGTTAGATAACACCAAGTGTTTCTGAGGATGTTGAACAGATAGATCTCTAATATGATGCTAGAAGGAGTATAAGTTGGTATAATTGCTGTGAACAGCAATATAAAAATGTCTAATGAAGTTGAGAATTTAATACCCTTCAACTCACAAATTCCATTTCTAGGTATAGACCCTGGGAAAACTCTAATCTCTGTGCACAAAATGACAAAGAAAATAATGTTCATTGCTATATTATTTGTAATCTCAAAAAAGGAAGCAAATTAAATACTTATTGGCATATGAATGGATAAATAAACCATGGTATTGATGAAGTTAAATACTCTTTTGAAATTAAAATGAATGAGTTTGAGGTATATGTAGTAACAGTTAAATCTCAAAAATATAACAATGAGCAGAAAGCAAATTGCAAAACATATACTATATAATATTTATAAGTTTGAAAATATCATCAGTTGCCAGTGGCTACATAGATATATAATGACCAAATTTAAAAAATGAAGGGCACAACCACCAAATTTAAGGAAGGGTTAGAAGACTGAGATTGAGGATTATACAGGGAATATGAAGTACATCTGTAATATTTATTTCTTGCAAGTTGATGTTGCAGGATTTGCTAAAACTTGGTGGTAGGTATGTTTATCGGTTATGTTATTCTGTGTGCTTTCCTGAATTAGAATTGTTTGTAATTGATGAAATAAAAAAATAAAGAATATATCTATGGGGGAGGATTAGCAGTGTCAAATGCTGACAATAGGCCAAGGAAAATGGGCCTCAAGAAACTTTTTTGGATAAGTCAGGGAGTTTACTGGAGACTGTTCAATATGTATTATCAATAAGCCACAAGGGGCTTGGGGTTGTGGCTCAGTGATAGAGCACTTGCCTAGCATGTGTGAAGCACTGGGTTCAATCCTCAGCGCCACAGATAAATAAATAAATAAATAAAGGTATAGTGTTCATCTACAACTAAAAATATTTTTTTAAAAAAATAATAAGCCACAGGCTGGGGTTGTGGCTCAGTGGTAGAGTGCTCACCTAGCACACGTGAGGCACTGGGTTTGATCCTCAGCACCACATAAAAATGAAATAAAGATATTTCAGTTTAATAAAGATATTTTAGTTGTAGGTGTCTACCTACAACTAAAAATTTTAAAAAATAATAATAATAAGCCATGAGGATAGAAGCAAGAATAAAGGGAATTGGGTGGGGAGGGGCTGTGTCATGAGAAAATGGAAATAGGAGACCACATATTGAAGAAGTTTAGAAATTAAAAAAGAAGCAAAATATACTTTTTTTGTTTTTTAATTTATTCTAATTTGTTATATATGGCCGCAGAATGCAATTCAATTCATATTACACAAATAGAGCACAATTTTCCATGTCTCTGGTTGAATACAAAGTAGAGTCACACCGTTCATGTTTTCATACACGTAGTTAGGGTAATGATGTCTGTCTCACTCCACTGCCTTTCCTACCCCCATTCCTGCTCCCTTCCCTTCTGCCCTATCTAAAGTTCATCTATTCCTCCCATGGCCCCCATCCCCATTATGAATCAGCCTCCTTACACCACAGAAAACACTCAGTATTTGGTTGTTTGGGATTGGCTTACTTTACTTAGCATTATATTCTCTAACTCCATCCATTTACTTGCAAATGCCATGATTTTATTCTTTTTTTTAAATTTTTATTATTGGTTGTTCAAAACATTACATAGTTCTTGACATATCATATTTCACACATTTGATTCAAGTGGATTATGAACTCCCATTTTTACCCCGTATACAGATTGCAGAATTGTTATACAAAATTACATACAAGAGGAAGTGAGGGGTAAGGGAAAAAAAACAAGGGGGAGAAATGAATTACAGTAGATGGGGTAGAGAGAGAAGATAGGAGGGGAGGGGAGGGGAGGGGAGGGGGGATAGTAGAGGATAGGAAAGGCAGCAGAATACAACATACACTAGTATGGCAATATGTAAAACAGTGGATGTGTAACCGATGTGATTTTATTCTTTTTAATGCTGAGTAATATTCCATTGTGTATATATACCACATTTTCTTTATCCATTCATCTACTGAAACGTATCTGGGTTGGCTCTACAGTTTAGCTATTGTGAATTGTGCTGCTATAAACATTGATGTGGCTATGTGCTGAGAGCCATAGCCAAGTAGGAATGACGCATGGCAATTTCCTTGTCAGCCTACCCAATGTTGCTTAGAGGGAGGACTCTCCATTGTGGAAATGGGCTTGCCTTGGACCCAGGTCATTTGCAGTGACATTGCATGAATGTTTGAGAGTTTTGGTTGAAAGGTGACCCTGCTCTGGGTTTAGGGTGGATCCGGGTTTAGGGTGGATCCTGCTGGGAATAGGGTGGCTCCAGGTTTAGGGTGGATCCTGCTGGGAATAGGGCGTATCCTGCTGCCTCAGGCGCCCTCCTTGAGTTCCCGTTGAGTTCTCTCGGGATTGAGAGGGAATTTGGTTCACAGAGCCCGGTGGAGTGTGTGTATTTTCCCAGAACGTGCGTGTAGAGGGCCGGTGAGAGTTCGGGAATAAAGAGTTGCTGTTGGAATTTACAAGTTTTTGTGGTGGCTGGGTTATTTTGTGCCCAGCCAGACTGCGGCAGCTGTGTCCCTGTAGTATGCTGTTTTTAAGTCCTTTGGTATAAATTGAGAAGTGGGATAGCTGGATCAAATGGTGATTCCATTCTCAGTTTTCCAAGGAATCTCCATACTGCTTTCCATATGAGCTGCAACAATTTGCAGTCCCACCAGCAATGTATGAGTTTGCCCTTTTCCCCCAC